GTCCGGGGGTTTCTTCGGATGGGGCCACAGTGTCTCCGGACCGCTCCTGTCTCAGCCTCCAGTATTTATGCTGCAGTAGTTTATGTGTCGGGGGGCTGGGGTTAGTTGGTTATACCTGGAGTACTTCTCCTGTCTTATCCAGTGTCCTGTGTGAATTTAAGTATGCTCTCTCTAATTCTCTCGTTCTCTCTTTCTCTCTGAGAACCTGAGCCCTAGGACCATACGTCAGGACTACCGGGCATGATGACACCTTGCTGTCCCCAGTCCGCCTGGCCTTGCTGCTATTCCAGTTTCAACTGTTCTGCCTGCGGCTACGAAACCCCTACCTGTCCCAGACCTGCTGTTTTCAACTCTTAATGATCGGCTATGAAAAGCCAACTGAGAGACCTGAGCCCTAGGACCATACGTCGGGACTACCGGCCGTGGTGACTCCTTGCTGTCCCCAGTCCGCCTGGCCTTGCTGCTATTCCAGTTTAAACTGTTCTGCCTGCGGTTATGGAACCCCTACCTGTCCCAGACCTGCTGTTTTCAAACTCTTAATGATCGGCTATGAAAAGCCAACTGAGATTTATTCCTGATTATTATTTGACCATGCTTGTCACTTATGAACATTTTTGAACATCTTGGCATGGTTCTGTTATAATCTCCACCCGGCACAGCCAGAAGAGGACTGGCCACCCCTCATAGCCTGGTTCCTCTCTAGGTTTCTTCCTAGGTTTTCGCCTTTCTAGGGAGTTTTTCCTAGCCACCGTGCTTCTACACCTGCATTACTAGCTGTTTGGGGTTTTAGGCTGGGTTTCTGTACAGCACTTCGAGATATTAGCTGATGTAAGAAGGGCTATATAAAATAAAATTGATTGATTGATTGATTTGAAGGTAGGCCTTGAAATACATCCACAAGTACACCTCCAATTGACTCAAATGATGTCAATTAGCCTACCAGATGCTTCTAAAGCCATAACATGATTTTCTGGAATTTTCCAAGCTGTTTAAAGGCACAGTCAACTTAGTGTATGTAAACTTCTGAACCACTGGAATTGTGATACAGTGAATTATAAGTGAAATAATCTGTCTGTAAACAATTGTTGGAAAAATTAAGTGTGTCATGCACAAAGTAGATGTCCTAACCGACTTGCCAAAACTATAGTTTGTTAACAAGAAATTTGTGGAGTGGTTGAAAAACGAGTTTTAATGACTCCAACCTAAGTGTATGTAAACTTCCGACTTCAACTGTACCTGCTCTGAGTCACAGTATCTTGCAACAACTGCCAGACGTGGAATGTCATTCACATCCACACCCTCATCAAGAGCCACACTAAAGGGGTGGTGGGGTTGGAAAGTAATAAAGGGAAATACACTGCTCAAAAAAATAAAGGGAACACTAAAATAACACATCCAAGATCTGAATGAATGAAATAATCTTATTAAATACTTTTTTCTTTACATAGTTGAATGTGCTGACAACAAAATCACACACAAATTATCAATGGAAATCAAATGTATCAACCCATGGAGGTCTGGATTTGGAGTCACACTCAAAATTAAAGTGGAAAACCACACAACAGGCTGATCCAACTTTGATGTAATGTCCTTAAAACAAGTCAAAATGAGGCTCAGTAGTGTGTGTGGCCTCCACGTGCCTGTATGACCTCCCTACAACGCCTGGGCATGCTCCTGATGAGGTGGTGGATGGTCTCCTGAGGGATCTCCTCCCAGACCTGGACTAAAGCATCCGCCAACTCCTGGACAGTCTGTGGTGCAACGTGGCGTTGGTGGATGGAGCGAGACATGATGTCCCAGATGTGCTCAATTGGATTCAGGTCTGGGGAACGGGCGGGTCAGTCCATAGCATCAATGCCTTCCTCTTGCAGGAACTGCTGACACACTCCAGCCACATGAGGTCTAGCATTGTCTTGCATTAGGAGGAACCCAGGGCCAACCGCACCAGCATATGGTCTCACAAGGGGTCTGAGGATCTCATCTCGGGACCTAATGGCAGTCAGGCTTCCTCTGGCGAGCACATGGAGGGCTGTGCGGCCCCCCAAAGAAATGCCACCCCACACCATGACTGACCCACTGCCAAACCGGTCATGCTGGAGGATGTTGCAGGCAGCAGAACGTTCTCCACGGAGTCTCCAGACTCTGTCACGTCTGTCACATGTGCTCAGTGTGAACCTGCTTTCATCTGTGAAGAGCACAGGGCGCCAGTGGCGAATTTGCCAATCTTGGTGTTCTCTGGCAAATGCCAAACGTCCTGCACGGTGTTGGGCTGTAAGCACAACCCCCACCTGTGGACGTCGGGCCCTCATACCACCCTCAAGGAGTCTGTTTCTGACCGTTTGAGCAGACACATGCACATTTGTGGCCTGCTGGAGGTCATTTTGCAGGGCTCTGGCAGTGCTCCTCCTGCTCCTCCTTGCACAAAGGCGGAGGTAGCGGTCCTGCTGCTGGGTTGTTGCCCTCCTACGGCCTCCTCCACATCTCCTGATGTACTGGCCTGTCTCCTGGTAGCGCCTCCATGCTCTGGACACTACGCTGACAGACACAGCAAACCTTCTTGCCACAGCTTGCATTGATGTGCCATCCTGGATGAGCTGCACTACCTGAGCCACTTGTGTGGGTTGTAGACTCCGTCTCATGCTACCACTAGAGTGAAAGCACCGCCAGCATTCAAAAGTGACCAAAACATCAGCCAGGAAGCATAGGAACTGAGAAGTGGTCTGTGGTCACCACCTGCAGAACCACTCCTTTATTGGGGGTGTCTTGCTAATTGCCTATATTTTCCACCTGTTGTCTATTCCATTTGCACAACAGCATGTGAAATGTATTGTCAATCAGTGTTGCTTCCTAAGTGGACAGTTTGATTTCACAGAAGTGTGATTGACTTGGAGTTACATTGTGTTGTTTAAGTGTTCCCTTTATTTTTTTGAGCAGTGTATATAATTTAATCTTATTATTATATGTAGTAGAAAGCGATGGATTAGAAGAAGTCTAAATAACCAAGCCATAAAGTTAAATGTAACTTCCATGTATGGCCAGCTATGTAAACTTTAACATTGATTTATCCTGCAATAGATGTCGTTCAATTGGTAACATACATTTTTGTCTTCTTCTTAAAGGGAAAGTAATCTAAAAGTAACGGAATGTAATCAGATTAGCTGTTTAGAAGCCTCTTGAACCTAGACATGGCACTCCGGTACCACTGCAAATAGTCTGGCTAGCCATTTGATTAACTGTTCAGCAGTCTTATGGCTTGGGGGTAGAAGCTGTTTAGAAGCCTCTTGAACCTAGACATGGCACTCCGGTACCACTTGCCGTGCAGTAGCAGAGAGAACAGTCTATGGGTGGCTGGAGTCTTAGACAATTTTTAGGGCCTTCCTCTGACACCGCCTGGTATAGAGGTCCTGGATGGCAGGAAGCTTGACCCCAGTGATGTACTGGGCCGTACGCACTACCCTCTGTAGTGCCTTGCGGTCGGAGGCCAAGCAGTTGCCATACCAGGCAGTGATGCAACCAGTCAGGATGCTCTCGATGGTGCAGCTGTAGAACCTTTTGAGGATCTGAGGACCCATGCCAAATCTTTTCAGTCTCCTTAGGGGGAATAGGTTTTGTCGTGCCCTCTTCACGACTGCCTTGGTGTGCTTGGACCATGTTAGTTTGTTGGTGATGTGGACACCAAGGAACTTGAAGCTCTCAACCTGCTCCACTACAGCCCCGTCGATGAGAATGGGGGCGTGCTCGGTCCTCTTCTTTTTCCTGTAGTCCACAATCATCTCCTTTGTCTTGATCACGTTGAGGGAGAGGTTGTGAACAGCCATCCACAACAACCAACCTCTCTGATTCAGAAGGGTGCGGTTGTTGTGGTTGGCTGTTCACAAATCTATATGTATATTTTAACCCAATAATCATTTAATTGAAGACGTTTAAGCTGCCTATCAATCATTGTTTTTGCAACCAGGGGTGTATTCATTACAGAAACCGTTTATCATTTAAGAACCAAACGGAAGCTAACAGAGAAAAACAAGAGTTTCTATTGGACAAATGCAGGCAGGTCCCTCCCGTTTCGTTCAGTTTAAGATACTTTTTGCAACAGAATCGACGTAATGAATACGCCCCAGTGGACAGCCAGTGAAAATGCGTTCTTGCAACAGCTGCCTGCGGATCACAGCCTATGGAATAAAAGTTTGAGTTCCTCCCTTCTAAGCTCCCCTGTGGTATTGTGCTCCATACGGTCATAAACTAGTTTAATTTAAGAAGACCACGAGTGGGGCTTTTATTTTCTAAATGGAAAATTACCATCTCGTTTAAATTTTTCAACTCGAAGCAATGAGCCCATTCAGTCCTCCATCACAACAAAATCAAAAATAACAGATTAGGCTAATTAGTGGGTTATGCTCAGGTTAAACAATTTGGCAAATCTATATTTCCATTTTATGTTATAAAATATCAAATGTCCATAACTGTATAATATCACTCCTCTCCCAGGTTCAGGATCACATTCTCTGTGGGTACTTGGAACATATATAAGCGGAGAGACGCCTTTCCCTGAGTTTACGGTTGTGGTGATGTTGGATGATGTTCAAGTGGGTTACTATGACTCCAACATGACTGTATTCAAAGACAAAACCGAGGATGATGAAGCTCAGGACGCAGCTAATGTATTTGGAGATATATACCAGGGGATGAAAGACAGATCAGTTGAACTAAAGCACCACTTTAATCTCACGGAAGGTGTTCAAGTTCAGCAAAGATGGACTGGCTGTGAGATGTTTGACAATGGTGAACCGGCCTTGGCCATGTTGAAGAACATTTTCAATGGCATTTATGAAGATTATGCGGTATATTACAACATAACACATTCAACATATAATGCTGGTAAAATACTACCAGGATGGGATGGGATGATACACGCATACAAAAGAGGACTTTGTGAGAAGGTTTACTTTCCCATTTGCATCAAATCACTGAAGAGAATCCTGAAGAGAGACAAACACTTTGTGATGCGTAAAGTGCCTCCCAGACTGAGGTTGATAAAGAAAGAGGTTTCTGGAGGGCTCCAGGTGAGCTGCCTGGCGTTTGGTTTCTACCCCCGCCACATCAACCTGACCCTGCTGAGAGACGGCCAGCCAGTGGCAGAACAGGAGCTGGCAGGTGGGGAGGTGCTGCCTAGTGGAGATGGGACCTACCAGCTGAGGAAGAGTCTGGAGGTCAGTACTGAGGAGCTAAAGAAGAGACACAACTACACCTGTACTGCCTCTCACCTCAGTCTGGACAACAAGCTGGATGTCAGTTGGGAGTCTGGGGCAGAGAGAGTACACCTATCCACACTCTCAGGTCTACTGGTGATGGTTCTGATTGTTGTTCTATTGGGCATTTTCATTTGTGTCAAAAGGAGGTGGAGATGTATTGCCTCCCAGTCCAAATTTTCCAACATTGATGCAAAAGTGTCAGAGGAAATTAATCTTTCTTCAGATTCTGAGACCTAATATATTTTTGGGACACTGATGCAACTTTGTCAATTCAGCTCAATTCACAATGAAAATATAACTGCCAGAGCACCTATGAGGGCAGACACAAAATGTGCAAAAGATTCTGTTATTGTCGGTCAATCTTCCCTTCCCCTCAACAAAGGACTGTAAAGGATCAGTTTGGGTAGACTGTTGACAATAACAAATATCTGCGCATTATTAAGACAGATCTGAATTCATATATTTTATAGGCTGGTTTGGCAACCTGAGCATTAAAAAAGGTAATCTGGTAGTTATTTCTGTTATGTCATCTGTAATTTCTAATCATGACTATTCATTCATTTCACAATTCTATCTGTGCTGTATTAGCTGATATCCAGTATCTTAACCAGAAGGAGAATCATGTGATCATGTGTATGAGGTCTGTTTATTATTGGAATGCCTTTACAGTATATCTGTTTTGTATTGTATGTAGTGTATGTTCATCCTAGCTGCACAATAATACCCTTTATTACAGACAATAAAATGTAGCTTAATCGATTAATGCATTGATTCATTTTAACTACGACATTAATTAAAGCAATGTCAAGTATACCTTAATTTCTCTCAGGAACTTGTTTATCACTGTATCATTCCAGTTTAAGACTGGCATGAGTATTCAACTAAGGTGAATGTTGTATGCATTATAAACAATTAAACAGTTTTATCATAGAATGCCTTTAGTAGAGAATGAATCTGTTCGATTGCTGTCAGTGTCATGAAAAGTCATTTTCTATTTCACAGTAGCACACTGCTCGTTCTAAACATCATTTGTTTAGTGTTACTTTTCCCCAGTCAAATATTCAGGCCTACATTTCCACTTCAAGGCTGGACCACAACATAAAACGTAGCTTTTGAATATAAGATCTAGTTGAATTAACTGTTATTTTGTATTGAACACTGAATGGTATTTTTAATTTAATCTAATTTTTCTCACTGCACCATGGCAAAATGTTTTGAAATGTAGGAAATTAGCTGATTCCCCCTCTTTTGCCAATTATTTGGATCTCAACCCTGATACAATTCGGCTCCACATGTGACCTCAGTCTGGAAGCAAAAATCACATTTTATTTGCTCTGAAGTGTTTGCACATGACCTGCCATTACCATGACAACCACCCACAAAATGTTAGGGAACAGTGACAGGAAATGAGCATTGCATCTGTGTGCTACTTCAGAGGCTAAATCATGAATGCACAAATCTGATATGGGTCATACAAGAAGTTCTGTAGTGATTCCTATGTTGTTGATGTGAAGAATATTTGTTGATCTGTGGTGTGTAATGACGAGCAACCAGACGCTGCACTTGACACAATTATGAAATTGCTTATCCCAGTTACTAATAAGCATGCACCCATTAAGAAAATGACTGTAAAAATGGTTAAATCCCCATGGATTGATGAGGAATTGAAAAATGGTATGGTTGAGAGGGATGAGGCAAAAGAGATGGCAAATAGGTCTGGCTGTACAACCGATTGGCAAACGTACTGCAAATTGAGAAATCATGTGACTAAACTGAATAAAAAGAAAAAGAAACTACACACTGAAACAAAGATAAATGACATAAAGAATGATAGTAAAAAGCTTTGGAGCACCTTAAATGAACTCCGCTCCATCATTCATTGAATCAGATGGCTCATTCATCACAAACCCCACTGATATTGCCAACTACTTTAATTATTTTTTAATTGGCAAGATTAGCAAACTTAGGCATGACATGCCAGCAACAAACGCTGACACTACACATCCAAGTATATCTGACCAAATTATGAAAGACAAGCGTTGTAATTTTGAATTCCGTAAATTAAGTGTGGAAGAGGTGAAGAAATTATTATTGTCGATCAACAATGACAAGCCACCGGGGTCTGACAACTTGGATGGAAAATTACTGAGGATAATAGCGGACGATATTGTCACTCCTATTTGCCATATCTTCAATTTAAGCCTACTAGAAAGTGTGTGCCCTCAGGCCTGGAGGGAAGCAAAAGTTATTCCCCTACCTAAGAATAGTAAAGCCCCCTTAACTGGCTCAACTAGCCGACCAATCAGCCTGTTACCACCCCTTAGTAAACTTTTGGAAAGAATGGTGTTTGACCAGATAGAATGCTATTTCACAGTAAACAAATTGACAACAGACTTTCAGCACGCTTATAGGGAAGGACATTCAACAAGCACAGCACTTACACTGTTTTGTTAGACTTCAGTGCGACTTTTGACATTATCGATCATAGTCTGTTGCTGGAAAAACGTATGTGTTATGGCTTTACACCCCCTGCTATATTGTGGATAATAGGCTAATTGACATAATTTGAGTCAATTGGAGGTGTACCTGTGGATGTATTTCAAGGCCTACCTTCAAACTCAGTGCCTCTTTGCTTGACAACTTGGGAAAATCAAAAGAAATCAGCCAAGACATCAGAAAAAAAATCGTAGACCTCCACATGTCTGGTTCATCCTTGGGAGCAATTTCCAAACGCCTGAAGGTAACGCGTTCATCTGTACAAACAATAGTACGCAAGTATAAACACCATGGGACCACACAGCCGTCATACCGCACAGGAAGGAGACGTGTTCTGTCTCCTAGAGATGAACGTACTTTGGTGCGAAAAGTGCAAATCAATCCCAGAACAACAGCAAAAGACCTTATGAAGATGCTGGAGGAAACAGGTACAAAAGTATCTATATCCACAGTAAAACAAGTCCTATATCGACATAACCTGAAAGGCCGCTCAGCAAGGAAGAAGCCACTGCTCCAAAACCACCATAAAAAAGCCAGACTACGGTTTGCAACTGCACATGGGGACAAAGATCGTACTTTTTGGAGAAATGTCCTCTGGTCTGATTAAACAAAAATAGAACTGTTTGGCCATAATGACCATCGTTATGTTTGGAGGAAAAAGGGGGATCTTGCAAGCCGAAGAACACCATCCCAACCGTGAAGCACGGGGGTGGCAGCATCATGCTGTGGGGGTACCTTGCTGCAGGAGGGACTGGTGCACTTCACAAAATAGATGGCATCATGAGGAAGGAAGATTATGTGGATATATTGAAGCAACATCTCAAGACATCAGTCAGGACATTAAAGCATGGTCGCAAATGGGTCTTCCAAATGGACAATGACCCCAAGCATACTTCCAAAGTTGTGGCAAAATGGCTTAAGGACAACAAAGTCAAGGTATTGGAGTGGCATCGCAAAGCCCCAACCTCAATCCTATAGAAAGTTTGTGGCCAGAACTGAAAAAGCGTGTGCGAGCAAGGAGGCCTACAAACCTGACACAGTTACACCAGCTCTGTCAGGAGGAATGGGCCAAAATTCACCCAACTTATTGTGGGAAGCTTGTGGAAAGCTACCCAAAACATTTGACCCAAGTTAAACAATTTAAAGGCAATGCTACCAAATACTAATTGAGTGTATGTAAACTTCTGACCCACTGGAAATGTGATGAAAGAAATAAAAGCTGAAACAAATAATTCTCTCTACTATTATTCTGACATTTCACATTCTTAAAATAAAGTGGTGATCCTAACTGACTTAAGACAGGGAATTTTTACTAGGATTAAATGTCAAGAATTGTGAAAAACTGAGTCTACATTTACTTGGCTGAGGTGTATGTAAACTTCTGACTGTATCACCCAGTAAGTCAACAGGATGAAAACAAAACCCAGACAAAGGGTTAAAAGATTCATCCGTTTCTTTTACATGTCAGGTCCCAAACCACATAGTTACAACATTATGGAATATAACACTGTTTCTGGCAACAATACTTTGGAATGATAAACAAGAATCCTTCATTAAAATGAACATTTAAAGGGTCAATCCTGGATTGGTACGTACATCCATCCGACTGCTTTGTTGTTTTTAAAATCCCAGATCGTCCCTTTAAAGGACTTCAGTAACAATGTTGGGAAAGGGTAACTTTACAGCCTCTCCCCCACTGGATGGAAGAGACATTGAGGGTGGATGATTCTCAGGGTTACAGGGCTGGTAGAATGGTCCCCACACACGGTCCGAAACCCACCCTATACCCACTCCCCTCACAGTAACCTAGAGACAGAGTGGGAGAAAGAAATTAAAGGACAACACAGACCAACAGGAACGTCGTCCATGCACAGTAGATTACCTGCTGGGTGTCAACGGATGGTAGATTCAACATGTAGAATCGTCAGCATGGTCTGTTTTGTCCTTAATTAACACACTGTGACTGAGAGACGCCAATATGATAGGAATAACATTCAATAGCTGTTAACCTGAAATCCCAAAAGGTTTCTGCTGTATTATATTCAGATGAGGGTCAGCAGCTCTCAAACAGATTTGCTTTCTCTGAGTCTCAATCGTCTGTATGAGATAGCTGTAGGGTGGTGAATTGGCTTGGTTGTGTGTGTGAACGATGGCTAATAGAAGCTGTGGTCACTAACACGTAGGTGACAGACCGAAGTTTAAATAGGATAATAAAATGTTGAGCGTTTGCTTGAACGTGCCTGAACATCCTGATGGGTGTGGTTTGCACCTGACTTCCCTAACACTTCCTCATTTCTTACCAGGACTGATTTAGGTGATAGCTGCTTTATTGAGGAAAGCTCTACTTACAATGACTGTGATATGTGGTTGTCTAACCTAGCTACCTGAAGCTAAAATAATAATAATAATAATAGTATGTCATTTAGAAGATGCTTTTATCATAAGCCACTTACAGTCATGCGTGCATATATTTTACATAAGGGTGGTACCGGGAATCAAACCCTCAATCCTGGCAATCGAAGTTCCATGCTCTTCCAACTGAGCAATACAGTTTAATTGTTGAATGCACTGACTGTCTGCTAAATGATAGTTGTCTCTTGTTTTCTGTAGTGGTTCTGTCTGTAATAGTGTTTGTAGAGAGCTCAGTAAGGATATATCATGGTTTCTGTAGTGGTTCTGTCTGTAATAGTGTTTGTAGAGAGCTCAGTAAGGATATATCATGGTTTCTGTAGTGGTTCTGTCTGTAATAGTGTTTGTAGAGAGCTCAGTAAGGATATATCATGGTTTCTGTAGTGGTTCTGTCTGTAACAGTGTTTGTAGAGAGCTCAGTAAGGATATATCATGGTTTCTGTAGTGGTTCTGTCTGTAACAGTGTTTGTAGAGAGCTCAGTAAGGGTGTATCATGGTTTCTGTAGTGGTTCTGTCTGTAACAGTGTTTGTAGAGAGCTCAGTAAGGCTGTATCATGGTTTCTGTAGTGGTTCTGTCTGTAACAGTGTTTGTAGAGAGCTCAGTAAGGCTGTATCATGGTTTCTGTAGTGGTTCTGTCTGTAACAGTGTTTGTAGAGAGCTCAGTAAGGGTGTATCATGGTTTCTGTAGTGGTTCTGTCTGTAACAGTGTTTGTAGAGAGCTCAGTAAGGGTGTATCATGGTTTCTGTAGTGGTTCTGTCTGTAACAGTGTTTGTAGTGAGCTCAGTAAGGGTGCATCATGGTTTCTGTAGTGGTTCTGTCTGTAACAGTGTTTGTAGTGAGCTCAGTAAGGATATATCATGGTTTCTGTAGTGGTTCTGTCTGTAATAGTCTCTGTATAATAGGGTTCCACCCACCTGTAAGAGTGACCTCGTCTCCATCCTTTAGGAAGGTTCTTGTCTCTCCTCCTCCCAAGTCCACGGTCTTAGAACCCTTCCATGACAACTCCAACATAGAACCAAAACTGTCTGGCTCCTACACATACACACAGAGAGAGAGAGAGAGAGACAGAGAGAGACAGAGAGAGTGAAAGAGAGAGCGAAAGAGAGAGACAGAGAAAGAGAGAGTGACAGAGAAAAATAGAGAGAGTGACAGAGAGCGAGAGATAGGTCAATAGTGAATCAACAACAACTCATCAGAACATATACAGTAAAATGTGCACACATGTAAACACTGATTCAGATACAAAATGCTCACAGACACACACACGCAACCAAACACAACCTCACCGGTCCACTGATGGTTCCTGAGGCCAGCAGGTCTCCAGGTCTGACGTTACAGCCATTGACTGTGTGATGGGCTAACTGCTGCTTCATAGTCCAGTACATATACTAGAGAGATGGAGAGAGAGATAGAGAGAAGTGAGAGGGAAAGAGAGACACACACACACACTATGTATATACAATGCTGCACAATTTAAACCCCCAATCCCCCCTTGCCCAGAACATATGAAAAAATGGTAATATAAATTGTGCTTCCTGTATTATACTGATGCTAAAATGTTTATTCTATTCTACTGAGCCATTTACTTTATGTTCATAGTCTTATCTTTTAATATTTCTTATTGTTGTTGTTGCATTGTCCAGAAGGAGCCTGCTAGTAAGCATTTCGTTGGACGGTGTATACCATGTGTATCCTGTACATACGACTAATAAAACGTAACTTTAACACACATACACAGATGCGCGCACACACACACACACACACACACACAGAAAGACAGATAAAAAAGAGACAGTGAGTCAGTCAGAAAGACATCCGGTACCTCATAAGTCATTTTGTTCATATCCTTTGCTAGTTAGCGAGTTATTAGCCCAGTTATATATCATTTCTCCTGGCTCTCTCTTTCCTGACTCTCTCTCTTCTGGCTCTCTCTCTCCTGGCTCTCTCTCTCCGGGCTCTCTGTCTCCTGGCTCTCTGTCTCCTGGCTCTCTGTCTCCTGGCTCTCTGTCTCCTGGCTCTCTGTCTCCTTGCTCTCTCTCTCCTGGCTCTCTCTTTCCTGGCTCTCTCTCTCCTGGCTCTCTCTCTCCTGAATCTCTCTCCACTGAATCTCTCTCCACTGAATCTCTCTCCACTGATAAATGAAGTAGCCAATAGGCAGAGGGTAGCATAATTTGTCTGATTCTCTGTAATAATGGTATGGGAATAATAATGCATTTTATTTTGCTCACGACCCCCCAAATCCTTCTACACTTTGAGAACCACTGCGCTAGCTCACCTGACCTGTATTAATTGACAGTTTGCTGGTCCAATCAGAGGGCCAAGTGTGCGTTTCACTATCACTTTTTTTTTTTGCAATGTGCGATGCTGCGGCTACTGTCTCTGGATAGTGGAAAGCAATGCACTGAGACTCTGTGCCACAAAATGAGTGACAAAGAGAACAAGATCATTTCAAGTCATTAGTCTCAAGTAAAAGTTGAGTCCCAAGTCTTTAGGCTCCAAGTCAAAGTCAAGCCTCAAGTTATATAAGTTGAGTCTCAAGTCATCAAATTTGTGACCCAAGTCAGACTCGAGTCCAAGTCATGTGATTCGAGTCCACAACTCTGCACATTGATGCAACTGTAGTAAGCTATCCAATGTTTAGACAAGTCAACTTTACCAATTACTTACCTTGAAGTTGGACTTGCATATAGTGGCTGCTTCCTTCATTGCCTCTCCTGAAAAAAACAACCCACAATAGTTGATTGAGACTGGATATCAACACCTGAAATACCCCCTCAATAACACCTCAGAAAATACATAGGAAGAGCAGTGGAGAGTCAGGAAAGAAAGTCAGTGGAGAGTCAAGAGAGAGAGTCAGGATAGAAAGTCAGTGGAGAGTCAAGAGAGAGAGTCAGGACAGAGAGTCAGGAGAGAGACAGTCAGGAGAGAGTCAGGAGAGAGAGAGTCAGGACAGAGTCAGTGGAGAGAGAGTCAGGACAGAGAGTCAGGACAGAGAGTCAGTGGAGAGAGAGTCAGGACAGAGTCAGTGGAGAGAGAGTCAGGACAGAGAGTCAGTGGAGAGAGAGTCAGGACAGAGAGTCAGGAGAGAGAGAGTCAGGACAGAGAGTCAGGACAGAGAGTCAGTGGAGAGAGAGTCAGGAGAGAGAGTCAGGAGAGAGAGTCATTGGAGTGTCAGGACAGAGAGTCAGTGGAGAGAGAGTCAGGAGAGAGTCAGGAGAGAGAGTCATTGGAGAGTCAGGAGAGAGAGAGTCAGTGAAGAGAGAGAGTCAGTGGAGAGAGAGTCAGCGGAGAGAGAGATTCAGTGGAGAGAGATTCAGTGGAGAGAGTCAGGAGAGAGAGAGTCAGTGAAGAGAGAGTCAGTGAAGAGAAAGTCAGTGGAGAGAGAGAGTCAGCGGAGAGAGAGAGTCAGTGAAGAGAGATTCAGTAGAGAGAGAATCAGTGGAGAGAGTCAGGAGAGAGAGAGTCAGGAGAGAGAGACCCAGGAGAGAGAGTCAGCGGAGAGAGAGAGTCAGCGGAGAGAGAGAGTCAGTGAAGAGAAAGAGTCAGTGGAGAGAGAGAGTCAGTGGAGAGAGAGAGTCAGTGGAGAGAGAGAGTCAGTGGAGAGAGAGAGTCAGTGAAGAGAGAGAGTCAGTGGAGAGAGAGAGTCAGTGGAGAGAGAGTCAGTGGAGAGAGTGAGTCAGTGGAGAGAGTGAGTCAGTGGAGAGAGTCAGTGGAGAGAGAGTCAGGAGAGAGTCAGGAGCGAGAGAGTCAGGAGCGAGCGAGTCAGGAGAGAGCGAGTCAGTGGAGAGAGAGAGTCAGGAGAGAGAGAGTCAGTGGAGAGAGAGTCAGGAGAGAGAGAGACAGGAGAGAGCGAGTCAGTGGAGAGAGAGTCAGGAGAGAGAGAGACAGGAGAGAGAGAGTCAGGAGAGAGAGTCAGGAGAGAGAGAGACAGGAGAGAGCGAGTCAGGAGAGAGAGAGTCAGGAGAGAGAGAGACAGGAGAGAGCGAGTCAGTGGAGAGAGAGTCAGGAGAGAGAGAGTCAGTGGAGAGAGAGTCAGTGGAGAGAGAGTCAGTGGAGAGAGAGTCAGGAGAGAGAGTCAGGAGAGAGAGAATGAATACATTAGGAATACAAAGCTCTTAATGGTAAATCATTACCTCCCTTGAATGTGTGTGCTTAATTACCAAGGCATGGCACTCATTCACCAACAATTCCTTTTTACTGTGTGTCTGTGCACGTACGTGTGTGTGTGTGTGTGTGTATGTAAAACCCTACATACCTTTCACTGACACAAACAGATTAATGTTGAAGGTGAAGGCATCGTCATGGTGTAGATAAGGGAGGGGCTTTGGATCCTGAAACAGGAAGTGGAAATAGAAGAGCTTGAAGAGCCACTACACTCTTAGAAAAAAGGGTTCTACCTGGAACCAAAAAGGGTTCTTCAAAGGGTTCTCCTATGGGGACAGCTGAAGAACCCTTTTAGGTTATAGATGGCACCTTTTTTTCTAAGATGGTATGGATACTGGCTCTCATTACTAAAGGCTTACCTGAATGGTGAAGATGTAAAAGTGTTAATGTAATGTAAAATACATCCAGACCACCCGTAGTATAATGTAATGTAAAATACATCCAGACCACCCGTAGTATAATGTAATGTAAAATACATCCAGACCACCCTTAGTATAATGTAATGTAAAATACATCAAGACCACCTGTAGTATAATGTAATGTCAAATACATCCAGACCACCCATAGTATAATGTAATGTAAAATACATCCAGACCACCCATAGTATAATGTAATGTAAAATACATCCAGACCACCTGTAGTATAATGTAATGTCAAATACATCCAGACCACCCGTAGTATAATGTAATGTAAAATACATCCAGACCACCCGTGGTATAATGTAAAATACATCCAGACCACCCGTAGTATAATGTAAAATACATCCAGACCACCCGTGGCATAATATAATGTAAAATACATCCAGACCACCCGTAGTATACTATAGGGCAGTAGGACCACCAGGTCTATCCTATATTACACTACTATACTATACTGTTTGTGTTCCTCACCTGGACAGTGTTGGGCTCAGCGAAGGGCAGTAGGGCCTCCATAGGAACCACCCAGGGTGAGATGGTTGTCCCAAAGTTCTTCCCCAGAAACGGACCCAGAGGAACGTACTCCCACGCCTGGATATCCCTGGCTGGAACCCACACAGGAAGAGTGGTTACCCTTTATTTTACCATTAGATATTGAACTTTACGGTATTTACTGAATATTCCTCAGTGGACACACATATTACAGGTAGGTTTGAATAGTATGCAACCTGCCCAGTGGTGAGTCCATGCTATGTTGTTTGGATGATAGTTCACCAAGATAGCTACAGTACCTGTACTACCACTGTACTTGTGCATAGGCATAGCTACAAAACCTTGGTAAGTTGTGCTATGTTAATAATAATAATAATAATATGCCATTTAGCAGACGCTTTTATCCAAAGCGACTTACAGTCATGTGTGCATACATGTTTACGTATGGGTGGTCCCGGGGATCGAACCCACTACCCTGGTGTTCCAAGTGCCATGATCTACCAATTGAGCTACAGAGGACCACATTTGAACTACTGGAGGACCTCATTTGAACTACTGGTCTTTTTGACTATTGACAACCCAGGAACTATTCTATGAAATATTGTTTTGAGGGATGTGATAAATGATAATGTACTGCAGTCAGCAGAAACAGCCATTTCAACTATCAGTACCACTCTCCTCTACATACCAACCCAGGTGTAACCTGGCTCAGACTCCCACACATCTGTCTGAGAAATGACTTCTCACAACTGACAGATATGATATGACATCCATCAGTCAGTCAATCAGCCTCACTGTATTTTACTGTAAAGGACTGGTCAGCAGTAGCCGCAGAGGTGGAGGCCACGTCCCAAATGGCACCCTATTCCCTATATAGTGCACTACTTTTGGCCAAAGCCCTTAGAGCTCTATACACTGAGTGTACGAAACATCTTTCCATGACATAGACTGACCAAGCTGAATCCAGGTGAAAGCTATGATCCCTTATTTATGTCACTTTTTAAACCCACTTCAATCAGTGTAGATGAAGGGGAGGAGACAGGTTAAAGAAGGATTTTGAAGCCTTGAGACAATTGAGACATGGATTGTGTATGAGTGCCATTCAGAGGGTGAATGGGCAAGACAAAATATTTAAGTGCCTTTGAACGGGGTATGGTAGTAGGTGCCAGGCGCACTGGTTTGTGTCAAAAACTGCAACGCTGCTGGGTTTTTCACGCTTAACAGTTTCCTGTGTGTATCAAGAATGGTCCACCACCCAAAGGACATCCAGACAACTTGACACAACTGTGGGAAGCATTGGAGTCAACATGGGCTCTGGCAATAGAAAAATAAGGTGAAGCCTAGTAGTCTGCCTTCCAAAAGTCACCCAGCAATATAATACTTGAGTAAAAGTCTAAAAGTATTTGGTTTTAAATATACTTAAGTATCAAAAGTAAATGTAATTACTAAATATTCCTTATATTAACCAAACCAGACGGCACCATTTTTTATTTACGGATAGCCAGGGGCACACTCCAACACTCAGGCATAATTTACAAACAAAGCATTTGTGTTTAGTGAGTCCGCCAGATCAGAGGCAGTAGGGATGACCAAGGATGTTCTCTTGATAAGTGCGTGAATTGGACCATTTTCCTGTCCTGCTAAGCATTCAAAATGTACTGAGTACTTTTGGGTGTCAGGGAAAATGTATGGAGTAAAAAGTACATTATTTTCTTTAAGAATGTAGTTAGTGGAGTAAAAGTACACATTAAAAAAAATATAAATAGTCAAGTAATGTACAGATACCCCAAAAAATGACTTCAGTAGTACTTTAAAGTATTTTTTACTTAAGTACTTTATGTCACTGATTCCCTACCGTGCACTCCTTCTGTAGTGCACTATATAGGGAATGTGCACTATATAGGGAATAGGGTGCCATTTGGGACACAGACCTAGTCAATGTGCTGAAATGCCACTTGCTCTGCCTTGAAAGTCTCACTAAATCACAGCAACTCAGCAAGTCAAGCTGAGATGTCCCGACCTAGCATTAAGAGGTGACAACAGCTTTGCAAAGATGAGATATCTTCAATATTTAAATAAGATAAGAGGGGGAGGCGGGGCTGAGAGAGAGAGTCAGTTTGATATCAGTTGGTCCCTGACTGTGTATCTCTTTTAACGGTTGGCACATTGCCATCACACACAGAGTGGATACACACTAGGGGTGTAACGATTCGTTTTAACAACGATTCGATTTGTATCACGATTCGTGGTTGTTGATACGATTCAAGGACGATATTGGTTCATTTAGAACGATACGATCCGAAACGATTCAGTGACTTGAAATCGATTCAGTAACCTTTTAGCCAAAAATTCAACCAGTGTGACTGAAATAAATACCTGGTAACCAGTTGCATTTTAATGGCTGGCAATAGTCTTGATATTTTTAACAGTGTTTCATGACTCCATGCAGACCATCTGGTATTATGAAACTTACCAAAAGTCTCACAAGTCCGTCTGTTATGGCCTGTGCGGTTCGGTCAGCACCCAATTCAATCAGTCCAATAAAGTCCAAAGTAAACTCTCCGTTGCTGGACACAGACACAATGTAAACTATTTCCTGCTCAGTTTTTGTGATGTCCTCAGATCCATCAAAAAGCATTCAGTAAAGGAACATCCTCAGAATAGGAAGACATGGGACGTGCGTGTTTAGCTTTATGGAAAGAGAAAAAATATTAAACAGAGCTTGCCGCTGTTCTTCATTCAGCTTGTCTGGCAAGTGGGCGACTGGACATTTATTCTCGGCTAGCTTTTAGCAATGGCTTGCGCCACATTCGTGTGCTCCTTGCTCTTTTCATGTTTGTCAAATAAAGGATGGTTGAAATTCTTTGAGCCTTTATAAAATGCACCTGTTTTGTCTGCTAGATGTGGATTTGAGCGGCAAATCTTGCACCACATTTCAGTGCGCTCATCGTTAGCTTCAAGCCACTTTTCCGAAAAAAGTATTTTCTTCGGCTCTGGCTCCAGTTGGCGTTTCTTTGTAGGTGGCAAAACGCCAAAGAAGCTGCTTAATGTCTGTTGCTTTTTGGACATCCCTGACAGTAGTTGACAAGCAACATGTCATGTGTAAGGTTAGATGAGAAGATCGGTCAAGTACGCAAAGGCGCGTAGTAACACAAGTGGCATTACGCATTCCTGATTTTTGTCGCGCTTGCGTATCTGCGTACCAGTTATGTGCACCCCTGCATATAAAGTCTGACGTGCTTAAATCCAATGGGTTATTTCCTAGTATCGATACAATCGATTTATTACATTTTAAAACGATGTTAGATCGATATATGTTGTCCAAAAGGCCAACTCGCCGAGCACAGATCGATGTAGTTGGATCATATGAATATAAATCGATACATCGATGTAGTAGATGGATCGTTACACCCCTAATACACACACATTTTTCTTGATAGCACATGCTTCCTTGCACACACACACACGCATACACACACACACACAAATGTAACATTTCTCATAAGGAGTTCCCTCATGGCAAAAACTTGCATTTCTTTTAATCGGATTTCATTCAATCGGAGTGACTGAAGCCAGTGGGAAGAAAACAACTTGTTTGAATAAAGTGAATACAGTATTGTATATGTCTGTCTATGGGTTCTACACTAAGCCCTGCCAACCTTGAAGGATTTTTAATGAGTACCACTTCAGCGCATAACTGGCACCCCTGGCGGCACACGTGCGACACCCAAACTGCTCAAATCATAGGCAAATGCAAATTTTTTTGCCTAATAATGATGTTGGCAGAAGACTGCCTCACTAGGAATGGTAGGCTATAGACTGTTATGGTACTTGGAGTCTTAAATTATATCAAACAATGTAGCCAACACAGAAGTCTGGTGTTTGATTCTAAATGAAATTGAGGTGGTCTCAATGACACTCACACTAGTTTACCTTTAGGGGTAATGATTATTCTAATTAATAGGTGTCTTTATGTGGATAGTCTAATTAAAATGTAAACGGGGGGGGGGGTATTCTGAATGATTCAATTACTGGATGCAATGTAGTTGTCTAGTTCAGTACAGGCTATTTGGAATATGAAACAACTGATCTAGGCCTATATAAGCTTGTTTCAGATCTCCATCCCTGACCTCATCCATCCAGTTAGGTCTGACTACTAGGCTGCCATTCATTCAACATGCCTTGTTGTCATTGAACTGACTATTATCACATCATACTGTTGACATACAGCTATATCAAGAGGACAGATCAACAACTGATTCATTAACATAGGCCTACTAATCTTTAACAGTCTAACATAACTTACCCTGACGGACAGTTTTAGTGGAACAGCTCTCTCTGCCATGAACTACTGCAACACTGCACGTTTCCTTGCTCGTCAATGCGCTCACGCCTACTACCGTTGAGATCAAAACATGTGCGGGCAAGAAAGTGTTCTCGCTTAGTTGACTAACAACTCTGTAACTATCGTGGTCCTCTGTAGCTCAGCTGGTAGAGCACGGCGCTTGTAACGCCAAGGTAGTGGGTTCGATACCCGGGACCATCCATACACAAAAATGTATGCACACATGACTGTAAATCGCTTTGGATAAAAGCGTCTGCTAAATGGCATATTATTATTATTATGTAGCTAACTACCTTCGTCGTAATGACAGCTTAGCTAGGGAGCTAACTACGAAATAATAGTGGTTATGTGCTTGACAAACACATACAATTTTGTAAAATGTATTTGTCGAACAGTTAGTTCTCCATTTTCCCAGGAGGAGAATACAGGATAGACAGTATACAGTGGGAGCTTAACCTAAAGAGAGAGAACGAAGGAAGCAGAGAGACAGAGAGAGACAGAAAGAGGAAAAAACATGGAGAAAGAGACAGAGAAAAACAGACGGTGACAGAGACAGATCGCGACAGAAAGAGAGAGATGGAGAGAAGACTATCTTGAAATCTCAAGGCTACAGTCGATACCACTTCTCCTCCCAAGATCCTTATGCCTTATTAATAATCCATAGCCTGTCATGTTTTCCTGAGTAGTTTACCCTGCTCCCAGTGATTAAATATGAAATGATCACATCAACATTTATAATGCAGAACTAAATTAAGGAACTTAAGTTAGTGTTATCAGGGAAAGTGGATGCTTTTCAATTAGTGTTATTGACGTTAGGATTTTTCATTTACTGATATATTGTTTTTGGCTAATGATTCTACTATTGGCTGCATTCATTTGAAAATTAAGATATACTGTATGGTGATTATTCATTTCTGTCTTCCAGTGATGTGGGCTGTGTAGGTGTGTGTGTATGCACATATGAGTGTGTACGTAATTGAGCAAGCGTGTAAGTGTGTGTGTGTGTGTTTATTTGTTAGTGACTGGATGTGTACTCGTGTGTGTGTGTGTGTGTGTGTGCTCGTGCATGAGTCTGTGTGAGTGAGTGAGTATAAGTGTGTGTGTGAGACCTTACCACTCCAGTCGTTCATCAGCACCATGCCAAAGATGTGTTGGTGGGCTTTCTCTATGGGAATGGGCTCACCAAGACGATTACCTCCACCTACAAAGAATGCCTGAGAGAGAAAGACAGAGAGAAAGGAGATAAAAAGCAGAGAGAGAGAGAGAGAGAGAGAGAGAGAGAGAGAGACAGAGAGAGAGACAGAGAGAGGGAGAGAGAGAGAGAGGGAGAGAGAGAGAGAGGGAGAGAGAGACAGAGAGAGGGAGAGAGAGAGAGAGAGAGAGAGAGACAGAGAGCGAGAGAGACAGAGAGAGAGAGAGAGAGAGAGAGAGAGAGAGAAACACACAGAGAGAAAGAGAGAGATACTTTTTTTGTGATGCCATTGATATGAACCATCTCCTTGGTTGTAATAAAGTGTAGCTATATAAAGTATATACTGACCATCTCCAGCTCAATGTCCAGCTGCTTAGACTGGCCAAACACAGGAGGCTTAGCTAAGAGAGAACACAATGGAAGAGTGTTAGTGAGGGACACAAAAAGATAGTGACACTAGTCTGAGAGGTTTTGTGTGGTGTGTGTGTTTCTCTTTGTTTTCAGAGTCCGTGTTGATTTTCAGACTAGGTGTTGTGTTTCATTACATTGGTCGGGTCTCATCTGTCCAGAGGGTCTGCGTATGGGGGTCCCAGACACCACTATGGAAGAAGCCCTGCCATGATACCCCACGGGCAGCCTCAACCTGAGGGACACAATCAGTCAGTCAAACAAACATAATAATAATTTGGGGGGGATGCTTATACTTGTCCTGTTACAAACAAGTGTGTAATGAAAATGTGTTTTTTGCATATCCCAACTGCCCCTAAGACACCCGCAGGGAGTGGGGTCACCATTGTCAAGCGTCCCTAGAGCCATTGGGGTTAAGTGCCTTGCTCAAGGGCACAGCGACAGGTTTTTCTCACCTTATCAGCTCTGGGATTGGAACCAGCAAGCTTTCGGTTACTGGCCCAACGATCTAACCTCAAGACTACCAATCAATTATTCAGTCAGTCAGTCAGTCGAATAAACAGTAAATTAGTCAGCCAGCCAGGCAGTCAAACAGTCAGTCAGACAGACAGCCAGTCAAACAGTCAGTCAGTTAGTCAGTCAAATAAACAGTCAGTCAAACAATCAGTCAGTCAGCCAGTCAAATAAACAGTCAGCCAATCGGTCAGCATTATACAGCTACAGAGATAGAGATACGGATACAGAGAGAAAGAGAGAGAGCAAGGAAGAAAAATGGAAAGAGAGACAGAAAGAGAAAGAAGAGAGGTTCTACACTAAGAGGTTCAGCAGCTGTGGTGTCTGAAGCCAGGAATGGTGCAGTGTTGGACTGCAGACTCACTGACTGACTGACTGAAGGATGGTGCAGTGATGGACTGCAGACTCACTGACTGACTGACTGAAGGATGGTGCAGTGATGGACTGCAGACTCACTGACTGACTGACTGACTGACTGAAGGATGGTGCAGTGATGGACTGCAGACTCACTGACTGACTGACTGAAGGAAGGATGGTGCAGTGATGGACTGCAGACTCACTGACTGACTGAAGGATGGTGCAGTGATGGACTGCAGACTCACTGACTGACTGACTGAAGGATGGTGCAGTGATGGACTGCAGACTCACTGACTGACTGAAGGATGGTGCAGTGATGGACTGCAGACTCACTGACTGACTGAAGGATGGTGCAGTGATGGACTGCAGACTCACTGACTAACCGAAGGAAGGTGCAGTTTGTGAAAACACTGAAACTGTCCGAGTGCTCCAGTCAATTAGAGAAAACGAATTGTGTCCCTCACACATCATAGCTCACAGCACAGCACAAGGCCTTAGTACGTTTCTCTCTCTTTCTACCTCTCTCACTTTTTCTTCTTATTTTATCCTTTCTCTCATTCTCTTTTTTCTTATTTTTCCCTCTCTCTTATTCTCTCCTCTTCTCCGTCACCTTCTTTTCTATCTCTCTTTTATCCTTCTTGTTCTCACTGTGTCTCTCTCCAAATAACGAGAAGCGATAAAAACAACTCAAACAAGAAAAGCTACATTGTTATCTGAGGATTTGGACTTCTAGTGGATGGTTTTCAGACAGTCTGACCAATATCATTCATCTGTCTACATCTAATAATATGGTCAGTTAGTGAGTTACTCTGTCTACATCTAATAATATGGTCAGTTAGTGAGTTACTCTGTCTACATCTAATAATATGGTCAGTTAGTGAGTTACTCTGTCTACATCTAATAATATGGTCAGTTAGTGAGTTAGTAAGTGGTGAATGAACAGCCTCGTCTGGGCATGGACTCTACAAGATGTCGAAAGCTGTCCACAGGGATGCTGGCCCATATTGACTCCAATGCCTCCCACATTTGTGTCAAGTTGGCTGGATGTCCTTTGGGTGGTGGACCATTCTTGATTCACATGGGAAACTGTTGAGTGTGAAAAACTCAGCAGCGTTGCAGTTCACGACACAAACCGGTACGCCTGGCACCTACTACCATACCCTGTTCAAATGCACTTAAATATTTTATCTTGCCCATTCACCCTTTGAATGGCACACATGCACCCTCTGTGTCTCAATTGTCTCAAGGCTTAAAAATCATTCTTTAACGTGTCTCCTCCCCTTCATCTACACTGATTGAAGTGGATTTAACAAGTGGCATCAATAAGGGATCATAGCTTTCACCTGGATTCAGCTGGTCAGTCTATGTCATGGAAAGAGCAGGCGTTCTTAATGTTTTCTACACTCAGTGTCCCAAATGGCACCCTATTCCCTTTGTAGTTTACTACTTTTGACCAGAGCTATTTGGGCCCTTGTCAAAAGTAGTGCACTATTACATTTTAGTCATTTAGCAGACGCTCTTATCCAGAGCGACTTACAGTTAGTGAGTGCATAAATTTTCATACTGGCCCCCCGTGGGAAACGAACCCACAACCCTGGCGTTGCAAGCGCCATGCTCTACCAACTGAGCTACAGGGGACGACGTAGCTCAGTTACAGTTACTGTATATAGCCCTGTAGACTCCTTCTGGCCTCCCTCACTATAAAGGCAATAGGAAGCCATTCGGGATGCAGATGAGGTGCTGGTTGTCATATCATACCAGTTGGGCATCAGGGCATTCTCCTTCCCTCGGAACATAATGCCAACGTTGGTGGCATGGTCCCTGGATGAGTAGAAGTCAGTGTAGTCACCTGTGTGTGTGTGTGTGGTTGTGTGTGAGAGAGATAGATGGAGAGAGAAAGAGGGTAGTTAAGTGACACTGTTAAATATGTACAGTGAACCAATGGTTAGCCTTTAGAACCTTTTTTTATATCAACATTTAGATAGCAAACAAATCTCTCAATCACCCATCTTACTACACTAGTATATTTCTATTGGTTAACAGCGCCACCTCTTGTTCAAGCATCATACAAACACCTCAATTGCATTTCCTTGATTCCTCGCATCCTCTCTCCTCGCCTCCTTCTCAAAACCCATTGGATGACCTTCTCATCCACAAGGAATAAACTAAATGCAATTGAGATTCTCCCCCTGAGTTGGTTCACACTGGCATTCCATCATAGAATTTCAATGTAGCCATATGAAAGTGGATTTAGATTGTGTAAAGACATATGACATGCACAGCCAAACGTGACCGAAAAGTCAAGCTTGCTTCTTGAATTACCTGAGGTAGCATTAACATGACTGAAGACCAGATAAATAATTTAGAAAGTTACATCAATTTCAGAAACGCACCATTGGATCAGCAAAGAGAAAAAAAGTAACATCTCCATGGTAACTCTGGATTTAGCATATCATTAGTTGAGAGGATTTCCATGCTTAAAGGTTATACATGTAACATTAGCTGCAGCTAGCATCAAATATGAATTGCATACTGTTCGTGTAGTAGCAAAGGAATAGAAATTCAGGAGAGTAAAACATACTTTTTAGAATGCCGCGTGACACTGCAAATGATTTTTTTACCGATTATGGATTGGATTATGATCAGGTAAGAAGCAGTACTAAGCCATTCATAGGCATTTCTAAGCAGTGTCCTTCAAAAAACATGAAGAAATTGAAAATTATGGCTAAAATGTGACATGTTGCTCCTTTAGGAGCATGAATTCTGCTCAGATGGTGATCACAGACTGACTGATCTACAAATCACCTTGCATCCTAAATAACTAGTCATTATGATTTGTAGATTATGTCAGTCTTGAATTGACGTTCTCAAAACACAGCCGATGAGGGATAGTAGGTAGTGCATTGGTGACTGATGCTGCAATGCTGACTGGGATTGCTTCTCTGAAAGTAGCTAGAAGTCACCCCTAACATCTGATACAGGGTCAGATTTTGTTTTATACCCCTGAGAGTTAAAGTTAGTAACGGCGGAGGTGTAATCTGATCCTAGATCTGTGCTTAGGGACAACTTGTACTATACCTCAAGCTCGGTGTAGAGACAGGAGGGGTGAAATATGAGGTGCATGTCAATAGTCTAAATCGGCTTCCTCTCCTACTGTTTAACAACTCACCTATCTCAGCAGGCAGATGCATCATGGCTGAACTCTGATGGAAAAATGCTCTGAGGAGACACACACACATTATAGAAACGTAAACATGCTACAAACCATGATAGAAAATAAAAAGATAAGGGAATACCAGAAAATAATATGATTTTGATTGCGGTCAAAAACCATATCCTAAACAATTAATATAATAATTCAATATATTTGACATGATCCTACTTTGCCGAACTCTTGAAGTGTTATAGAAGTGCTATAAAGTATAGAAGTGTTACAGAATATAGAAGTGCTATAGAGTATAGAAGTGTTATAGAATATAGAAGTGCTATAGAGTATAGAAGTGTTATAGAATATATAAGTGCTATAGAAGTACTATTGAAGTGCTATACGGTATAGAAGTGTTATAGAATATAGAAGTGCTTATTACATACTGCAAAATCCAATAAATAATTGTAAAAAAGTGCTATAGAAGTGCTGGAGGCTGACCTGCTCCTGAGGCTGACGTCGTCTCTGAGTGTGGTCTCGTTGGCAGACAGCAGCTGCTGTAGACTCCTCCTGGCCTCCCTCCATGCCTCGTACCCCAGACCCATGAACGCATTCAGGGTCGGCTAGTTGAGAGGTCGGAACATATTATGAGGAAACGCATTAAAAATGGAAAGCTTTTTTTATTTTTATACTGTATATGGCCCTCATAACAAGTAACCCAGTCTGGGCCCCCAAGGAGCAAGCAACAGCACAGTGGCAAGGGAAAACTCCCTAAAAGGAAGAAACTTTAAGAGAAACCAGGCATGTTTGTAAGTCAGTTTTGACGTTGGTGTTCGGGCGGCTCTCACTCATGAAAGCAGGTCTCTTCCTTGACGCCCAGGGGTGGAAATATCATAGGGGGAACCTGTGCATTTAACATTGAATTCAGGGATTGAAATCATGACAGAAAAGTTGTCTTCTTCATCATTTCAACCCTGTTGACGCCTCATGTGATTTCATTAGCATGATGTGGCTTTCACTCCTTGTCTCATTCCCCTATCAGCACTAATGTGACAAAACTGGAAAGGTGAAAGCCAATTCCCAGTAGGAATCCACCATTGTGCTTTAACGATCCTGTTATGTCAGAGCAGCACCGAGCTGAAGGGGAGGAGTCAGTTGGGAGGCAGCGGCACACATGGCCTCCAGACAATAGGGTTATTAGGGACCCATTCACAGGCAGGGGGCGAGAGAAGACACTCCAAACCAATTCCAACTACTCACTTGTAGATTTAATGTACTGTATAGTCCACAATATATGAAGCATACATCATAGTTGATGACTCGATTATGACACCGGTGTGGATATTCTCAAGGAAGAAAAGCAGTGCATCGTGCCCATTGACTAGACCTACCCACCTAGTATACTGTCCTATTGGCTACATAAGGTAGTATAAGTAAACTAGTGGAGATACATAGTAAACGTGCCATGTTACATTACCAGGTGAATGCACAATATTGCCATCAGTGCCGATAAGAAATATCAACCATAAATTTGAGACATTGAGGAGCACAACACATTTTGATGGCCTTACCTGGTCAAACACATCCTGGTGAGTGGAGAGCACAGGACCTCTGAAGAGTGACTTTATAACGCTCAGATCCAAAATCTGATCTCCAATAGCGACCCCAATCCGGTGCTTGGACTGAGAGTTACACGAGACATTTGTAAATACAGCAGAACAGGAATGAAACAATAAAGTGGAACGATATTGGAGAAGCTACTTTGTAAACTACAATGTTTCATCCAAGAGAACTTCACGTTTCCACAGTCGTTTGTAACATTTTGTCCTAAGAAAATCAATTTACATTCCATAGTTCCATGGCACAGGAGACGATGTGTAGGAAAACCGATTCAACTAAAAGTACAACAAATGTATCGTCATACTCACATTATCCGGTGTCGAGAACACGCCATATGGTAGATTGTGATAGGAGAAGTCGGACTTTTCGTCTACTTTTACGAAAGACATTTTTAAATTGCAGTTGTATTCCGGTATACTCTCCAAGGTAAGCAACAGAGTGAGTAACCTGTTCCAGATGTTGACCGCAGCCATAGGACAGCCCGCCTCCCACAGAATGAACCAACGACCAATAGGAAACGCTCTCTTATATCCACCCTTTTCAAGAACTGTAAATAATCCAAAACGGTTTGAAAATGACTCAGCAAAAATTATGCGGTCTAGAATTGATTAACCTTTATAATTTGGGTTGTGACAAATATTACTCAACTAAAAAAGTTGCTACAGTGAAGTTATTGTTTTGTGATATCAATGAAGTATACTGCGTTAGGTCTATGGCTGCGTTTACACAGGCAGAACAATTCTGATCTTTTTTTCCACTCATTGGTATTTTGACCAATCACATCAGATCTTTTCACGTCAGATATTTTTCAGAGCTGATCTGACAGGTCAAAAGACCAATTAGTGAAAAAAATATCAGAATTGGGCTGCCTATGTAAAGGCATTATATGACAGTCCTCATTAACATCCAAAACCACTTTTTGGACCTTGCTTTATTTGGTTTCTATGTGAGAAAATTGTACCAAATGCACAATGTTTCAAATTTTCTAAAATGTGTTAAAGCTTTATTCAGATCAAAGTTTAGACAGTGAATAAACTAACATAAATACAGAACAATAGATTCAGGTCATACTTCTGTGCACCCATAAATGAACTATATAATCCTTATATCATATAAACTCACAACCGGCAACAACATGCATACAGGCTATTCATAATCATGTGATAAACATAAACTCTTTTACACAGCAGATCACACACACAGTCTTTAAATGACTCAATTATACAAAAAGGTCTGGGAGCAAAGGAGCAAACGTATGCCACAATCCTGGTTTCTTCTCTCTCGCTGATAATGTAAAACAAAATCTGTTCTGTCGTCAGGCTACATACAGTCCAAAAGGAGGAATGGAAAGATCCTTGATGCGTTTTAACATGTTTTTTTTTTCCTTTTCTTTTTGACACCAGCAAAGCACAGCCCTTCCAGTAGTACCCATCTCAAAGTAATTATAGCCCTATTAGTATGGTAATTAATCAAAATCTAAATATTGTAACATAGTTTAAATCTTCAGATTTTTCACAAACCACAACATTTAAGGGATAAAATAATTAAAACTACAAAGGAAGTAAAAATACATTTCCAAAGACATTTTTTGTAGCTGGCATGCATGATTTTAAAAGGGTCCAATAGGAACGGAGCGTTGTCCACACAAACAACTTCAAATCAAAGAGGAAACGGAGAGAGAAACGAAAAGGTGGTCGATGGTTCATCTAAAACCGCAGGCTTTCGGGTGAGATCCGATTCGCGGCAATCCCGTTTTCAGATTTTTTGGATCTTCTCCCCGACGCAGACAGGGTTTGCTTTCCTGATCTTCTCCGCTGCGTCGGCCTTGTAGTTGAAGGTGCAGTTGTGAATGTCTGAGTACCGGTGCATGCTGCAAAACACGTTGCCGCATCGGCAGTCGAAGCCTGGGTACACAGAAGGCAGAGTTTGAAGGTAAAAAAAAAAAAATGGCTGATCGCCAAATGTGTCTCCTGGATATCAAGTACACACACACACACACACACAGACAGAGAAAATGGGCAACAACTAAGTCACTGCACTGAGCCAACAGGAGAATGTGTGTCAGAACCTTACCCGTGAGGCCCACTTTCTTGCGGCAGGAGAAGCAGCGATTCTTCTTGGTGGCTTTGGGTTTGTCTGAGTCCAAGGGTTTGTCCTGTCCGTCTACAGAGGCCTGGTCCGTGTCCTCGGATACCGATACAGACACTGGAGGGATCACACAGAACAACAACTTTACCGTATCGCCTTCTCAGCGCATCAATACTACTGCAGCTTTATAGGAATCCCCAATACCCATGCTTTTCAGGTGATGGCACTACATTTCACTGTGCTACAGACTAGGCCTACTATGCTTGTTCCCACTGTTTTTAACATATTTTCAGTAGGAAATAAAAAGGGATGAAAAAAGTATGCAGACATTTTTACGACGCATTTGCTTTTCTTTGGTTTTTATTCACCTTTTGACCATAATGGGTAGAAACGCTTAGTTTATCTGGCACAAATACAGCGCCCTTTCCCAGTAATGGTGAAAATAAGTCAGAAAACAACAGAACAGAAGTGACTGGGTTATTGCAGGATGCCAGTCGTACTTGCCTTTGGGTAAATGTATACACACAGTAAACATTGAACTGTAAGAATTAAGTGTTAAAATACTAACCAGTTCCTTTATTGTTCGTTTCTTGATATTTTTTCCTCCTATTAACAAAGTAAACATTTTTATATACGTGTCCTTTTTACGTTTTTTACAAAACCCATGTTGTACAGTCTTGACCAAATGGGTATGTATGAAGGGACGATTTTTAGAAGGTGCCTGAAGATTGGGACTGTGTCCCGGTACTCTCAAATACGGTACTCCTTTCTTCATGACCTATCCTTCATTACCTATGTACAGTACTGGATGGGGTTTCTACAACCCCCTTTCACCCACCATGACATGGAAGACCAGCGGTCGTAGAGGAAAGGAGACAAGGTAGCCATTGGGATTCAGTAGAAACCAAACGGAAGGAAATGGACCGAAACAGGGAGGGAGTACCTGAACTTGTCCACTAAGAAATGCTTGTTTTGCTACGGTGTGCACTTATGAATACGACCCAGGCTTTGGCCACCCTTGTTGTAGGGGAAGCAGCTAGCAGCTGTCCAGACTCTCACCATCTCTAGAACTCACTCAACCCTCTCTGTAAAAGCTTATAAGCCATGATGACCTAACCATTGACAGCCGTCTGTTCTGTCTGTGTGCGTCCCAAAAGGCACCCTATATGCACACACAGCAGTGCACTACTTTTGACTAGAGCCCTGTGGGCCATGGTCAGAAATAGTGCTATAAAGTGCACTACATTTGACCAGAGCACTATGGGCCTTGGTCAGAAATAGTGCACTACATAGGGAATAGGGTGACATTTGTCTCGATTGTCCTCACTGACCCTTCTCTCCATCTGGCTCCTCTAGCTTCCTCTTGCGACTGACTGACTTCCTGTCCTGGCCATCCTGGCCTTCTCATTGGCTGACTGGCCTGTCTATCAGGGCGAGTCCCTGAGCTACCTGCTGTGCTGGGCTCCTGCTGTTCACTATCTACAGCTGCTCTACATGGTGCTCGCTCTGCACACATAGACATACACACAGACACACACTTTAGCAACTGGTTTGTCATTCAAAACTAAAAGCTTAAAACACTTTTGGGTATTTTCTACCATTCTAAAACTATGTTCCTCTTTAACAAATGTTGAATTGGGTGTATGTACTGTAACTGTTCTAGAAGACAGTAGACAGAAACACTAGAGAACCAGTGTAACTGTTCTAGAAGACAGTAGACAGAAACACTAGAGAACCAGTGTAACTGTTCTAGAAGACAGTAGACAGAAACACTAGAGAACCAGTGTAACTGTTCTAGAAGACAGTAGACAGAAACACTAGAGAACCAGTGTAACTGTTCTAGAAGACAGTAGACAGAAACACTAGAGAACCAGTGTAACAGTTCTAGAAGACAGTAGACAGAAACACTAGAGAACCAGTGTAACAGTTCTAGAAGACAGTAGACAGAAACACTAGAGAACCAGTGTAACAGTTCTAGAAGACAGTAGACAGAAACACTAGAGAACCAGTGTAACAGTTCTAGAAGACAGTAGACAGAAACACTAGAGAACCAGTGTAACTGTTCTAGAAGACAGTAGACAGAAACACTAGAGAACCAAGTAACTGTTCTAGAAGACAGTAGACAGAAACACTAGAGAACCAGTGTAACTGTTCTAGAAGACAGTAGACAGAAACACTAGAGAACCAGTGTAACTGTTCTAGAAGACAGTAGACAGAAACACTAGAGAACCAGTGTAACTGTTCTAGAAGACAGTAGACAGAAACACTAGAGAACCAGTGTAACAGTTCTAGAAGACAGTAGAGAGAAACACTAGAGAACCAGTGTAACAGTTCTAGAAGACAGTAGACAGAAACACTAGAGAACCAGTGTAACAGTTCTAGAAGACAGTAGACAGAAACACTAGAGAACCAGTGTAACAGTTCTAGAAGACAGTAGACAGAAACACTAGAGAACCAGTGTAACTGTTCTAGAAGACAGTAGACAGAAACACTAGAGAACCAGTGTAACAGTTCTAGAAGACAGTAGACAGAAACACTAGAGAACCAGTGTAACAGTTCTAGAAGACAGTAGACAGAAACACTAGAGAACCAGTGTAACAGTTCTAGAAGACAGTAGACAGAAACACTAGAGAACCAGTGTAACTGTAATCCAGCAGGAGAGGATTGTGTCTGAAATCCTTCCTGAAATTCCTAGGCTGAACTTTGGGCTTTCTCTACTACCGATCTCTAAGCAAACAGAGATGGGACAACAATGTGTGTCTGTGTGTAGAACCACCCCTCGGACTGAGATTGACTGCAAGAGGGTATGAGGTGAAGGGTTTCCATGGTAGTGAGCCAGCGTTGGTCAGTGTGTGTGTGTGTGTTTGTGTGAGAGAGAGACCTCACAGCCTCTCAGGCTATTCACAGGAACATGAAAGGGTAGCACGGCAACAGCACTATTGTGTGAATCCTAACTTGAGATTTGCCTGCATAACTCAAGTATTTTACGTAAACCATGCATTGATGTCAATGAGACCACAACGTGTAAATTGTGCATTCATGTCAATGACATTTTTGCACAGAAATGTGAGTTACACACGCAGATCTCAAATGAGGATTGACTCGTCCCTATGAGAAAAGGTTTGTGGGAAACACGCTGGTAATACACACCCTGTATCTCTTCTGTTTTCAGGTCTTCTTCAGACGTGGCTGTACTCTTCTCTTCTGAATGAGTAGCTGGTGCTGCCGTTAAGAGTGACTGGCTAGATACAACACTGAAAAACATTAATAAAAGTGTTCAATTAGCCTAAAGCATGATCCATCAGTTGGTAGTCTTGATTAGAAGACTAGCTATATACAGTATTATGAAAATGATACACTTGAAGATTTCAAATGTAATCCCATTCAGGAATTTTCTGAAAATGCACCGAACGGAAGAAAACAGACTGTAAAATCCAATGACATGGGGCTCATTGTCATCAACTATGGCAATCATATTACAAAGCATTTCACCTCACTGTCAGACACAGTCAGAATGATTGGCATTGACATTTACATTTGAGTCACTTAGCAGACAATCTTATCCAGAGAGACGTACAGTTAGTGGCAGCTGTTGAAGCAATAAAAAGTGTATTAAATCGATAAAACTGTAACGACTATATAGAATTGAGCAGTACTCAAATTCCATACAGTGATTTTACAATTCTTTTTTATTTCAAATATTTTCTGTGGGTTTGAGAAAACAGTGTCCCTGTAGATTTGGTCGGGGCTAGGTATGGTACAGATAGGTAGACAAAGAGAGGTCATTAGATAACCACAGAAGGTCTCGTCTGTCTTAACGCACACGCTGGGGGAAACGGACATGGCATGTCAAGTGGAATCGGTCTCATAGAAGAGACAGAAGCGTCCAGGGAGATGACATCACACTATTCAGACACAGAACCAGAGATGATGACTTCCTTGTACTGTACTCCAATGGGGTACAGGAAGACCATGGTGCAAAAATAACCTTCCCTTCCTCAGAGAAACCCTTAACGATTGACACGCTTTTTTTAAATGACACAACATCTTTTAATTTTGTAACAGGAAATAAATTACCCAGGTTTAAAATAATAATGAAACCCTGGGAATCCACTGTAATACTAGCCTTGACCCTACGTAGTAAGCAATGCAAGAACTACAAATAGTGGTGCAAAATGATTCAACGTAGTTACGTAGCAAAAATACAGACGTGTGCAGGATCGCCATTTAGATGGTTTTTTTTTTTGTTGCCATTGCGTACGTACAGTAATAAATGTGTCTTTATAGAAAGGGGTATGTATATCTGGAGTACCAACGTTTCACATAGGCTAGTTTATTAAATTAATTTCCACATGGGCTGTGTATCATATACTGTATGTTGTATGGCTGGCTTGACATGGTGGTGGTGGTGTAGTGGTGGTGTGGTGGTGGTGGTGTAGTGGAGGTGTAGTAGTGGTGTAGGTGTAGTGGTGGTGGGGTGGAGGTGGTGTAGTGGTGGTGGGGTGGAGGTGTGGTGGAGGTGTGGTCATGCCGATAGCGTGTTTCAGAGAAGAGTAGCTGTATACCTACTGTACCTCTTCATCCCAGTGGCTGTGTCTGTGTGGGTCATGGCTGACGGCACGTCTACAGTACTTCTCTCTGAGCACTGGGCTAGGAGGGACTCTCCCAGGCTGCTAACCGCCGCCGAGGACGACACTGCAATGACAACACACGCTTCAATCAGAGCAGCCCAAAAGCAGAGAGGAAGAGGCAAAGCCAGAGAGTGATAACTAGACACAAAATCTGTCTTCGCCAGCAGGTGGCGTTGTTTTCCTCTTTTATTTTGCTCACCAAGCAAGGAGTTTTTGTATTTAGGTCAATGATTGTAGAATTTGATTAACCAAAAATATGATGGCTTATTTGATCGAATATACGTTTTATAATGCTTAGGTTGTTACGAGTGTACTGATATAAGTAGGACATCCTGGAAACTTGGGAGAAAAAAAACCCACTTTATATCGGAGTTGTGCCTGTTGTTCACACAGGTACAGTGAGGGAAAAAAGTATTTGATCCCCTGCTGATTTTGTACGTTTGCCCACTGACAAAGACATGATCAGTCTATAATTTTAATGGTAGGTTTATTTGAACAGTGAGAGACAGAATAACAACAAAAAAATCCAGAAAAACACGTCAAAAATGTTATAAATTGATTTGCATTTTAATGAGGGAAATAAGTATTTGACCGCTCTGCAAAACATGACTTCGTACTTGGTGGCAAAATCACAGAGGTCAGACGTTTCTTGTAGTTGGCCACCAGGTTTGCACACATCTCAGGAGGAATTTTGTTCCACTCCTCTTTGCAGATCTTCTCCAAGTCATTAAGGTTTCGAGGCTGACGTTTGGCAACTCGAACCTTCAGCTCCCTCCACAGATTTTCTATGGGATTAAGGTCTGGAGACTGGCTAGGCCACTCCAGGACCTTAATGTGCTTCTTCTTGAGCCACTCCTTTGTTGCCTTGGCCGTGTGTTTTGGGTCATTGTCATGCTGGAATACCCATCCACGACCCACTTTCAATGCCCTGGCTGAGGGAAGGAGGTTCTCACACAAGATTTGACGGCACATGGCCCCGTCCATCGTCCCTTTGATGCGGTGAAGTTGTGAAAAACACCCCCAAAGCATAATGTTTCCACCTCCATGTTTGACGGTGGGGGTGGAGTTCTTGGGGTCATAGGCAGCATTCCTCCTCCTCCTCAGACGGCCCTGTATATGTGCTTTCTTGAGCAGGGGGACCTTGCGGGCGCTGCAGGATTTCAGTCCTTCACGGTGTAGTGTGTTACCAATTGTTTTCTTGGTGACTATGGTCCCAGCTGCCTTGAGATCATTGACAAGATCCTCCCGTGTAGTTCTGGGCTGATTCCTCGCCATTCTCATGATCATTGCAACTTCACGAGGTGAGATCTTGCATGGAGCCCCAGGCCGAGGGAGATTGACAGTTATTTTGTGTTTCTTCCATTTGCGAATAATCGCACCAACTATTGTCACCTTCTCACCAAGCTGCTTGGCGATGGTCTTGTAGTCCATTCCAGCCTTGTGTAGGTCTGCAATCTTGTCCCTGACATCCTTGGAGAGCTCTTTGGTCTTGGCCATGATGGAGAGTTTGGAATCTGATTGATTGATTGCTTCTGTGGACAGGTGTATTTTATACAGGTAACAAACTGAGATTAGGAGCACTCCCTTTAAGTGTGTGCTCCTAATCTCAGCTCGTTACCTGTATAAAAAGACACCTGGGAGCCAGAAATCTTTCTGATTGAGAGGGGGTCAAATACTTATTTCCCTCATTAAAATGCAAATCAATTTATAACATTTTTGACATGCTTTTTTCTGGATTTTTTCATTGTTATTCTGTCTCTCATTGTTCAAATAAACCTACCATTAAAATTATAGACTGATGATTTCTTTGTCAGTGGGCAAACGTACAAAATCAGCAGGGGATCAAATTCTTTTTTCCCCTCACTGTATCTGCCCTCTCATTGGATAGAATGGTCCAATCTGATCTTTCCTCCTCCCGACTGCCTTCCATTTTTAAAGAAATTTCTTTCCATTGAGTATCTGCTCAATAATGGATAATCTGTGCCAAAAGTCACTCACTCAAATGAGACATTGTCTAAAGTAACAGTCACTGTCTGGAGTTACTGTCATCATCATTAGTCTTTCAAACAAACTTAAGTCATTTTTTTGTAAACTGACTTCTTCATTGTGAAATAGTAAGTCCCAAACATCAGCAATCGTGCTCACTCAGTCAAAAGTCAAATGGGTCAGTGTCAATATTTTCGTCTAAGAGGACTTGTTGGATTGATGAACTCAATTATCATTAATAAGATATTTGAAAGCTCTGTGGTATTTCCTCCCTACTCACCTGGTGGACTGACTCGTCCATTGTTGTTTTGTCTCTGGAGGAAGTCCTTGTAGCACATCGAACACATGCCATTGTTTCGCGGGTTGCTGTAGAAACCACAGCCCGTGGTGCAGAGCAGCGGCCCCTGGCTCTGGTTGGTCTCCTGGGCCATGTCCCTCCTGTTGAGGTCAAGAGGTGAGAGTTCAAAGGTCAATATGGCTATCACGCCGTTTCAGGATTGGACGCTGCCTAGGTCTAAAACATGCTTAGGTATTGGTGAAAGCCAAAGGGTAGTTTCTTGAAAAGAGAGCAGAGATGCCAAGTGTGCTGTTGCAAAAGGCTATGCTATGCCACTTAGCAGACACTTTTATCCAAAGTGAGTTTTAGTACTGTGAGAGTATACATTTTTAGAATAAGTATGTGATCCTTGTGGTAATTGAACACACAACTGTGGTGTTGCTAGTGCCATACTCTTACCAAATGAGACACACAGGACCAGAAGGAAGGAAGATTCTACTCTTCTAATCTCTAGCCAGCTGGCTGTAGCATTCAACATGGTGTAAGCCTAAACAAGTTGGTCATAATTCCCTAGAAAATTCTAGAAGTTGTTTGTTGCATCACAATGCCCGAGCATTCTATGGCAACACAATGACCTAAGCGCTGAAAATGTGTAATCACTGGTACTTAGGCTATCTGATATTAACACATAGCTCTCCTATGTAGATGAATTGCTGAAAGCAGATAATACAAGTAATAATAAAAGCTACCACTAATCTCTGACCAACCGACTGCTGAGTGTGTATGATGTCCCTCTCACTTCTGCTTCTCTCTGGGCCAGCCTGCCCTTGTAAGGCAGTCAAAACAAGATATAGTCTATGTGCAGAGTTCAAATGTGCTGTATTAAAATCAGACGAGGAACCTAAGCCTCACAGTCACTCTCCTGTATAACAAGTGACAGACTTGAGAGAAGAGGGTAAGAAGAGGGGTAAGGAATGAGGCTGCTTATGTCACCAGTAGAACTGGATATGAGTGACCTATACATAGAGACTAACTACAGGTAACATATAGCCTCGGCGTAGGCCAACAACTTTATGTTGTTGAATTACAGCTCACCTTTTATGTTATACACTAGGCCAGGGTTCCCCCAACTGGCAGCCCACAGTTGAATTTATTTGGGGGGACACTAAAGAATGCAAAAACACCACCAAATAATTTTGGAGATCTTTTCCAAAGTATTTCCACACATAGAGAGAGATGTGATCATATACAAATCTAAGCAAGATTTGAAATGACTGTTTTAGTCAAATATATATGTTTGGGCTTCTTGCGGTCAATTTGCAGTTTACAAATTATTTGTAATTATGTTCTGGCCGCTCGACCATCCTCTCAAGAAAAGAATCAGCCCGTGGCTGAATCTAGTTGATGATCCCTGCACTAGGCTATATAATTGGGCCTAATCCATTCTATACGGCCTCATTTTCTGTGCGGGGAACAGCATTAGGCCTAATTCGATACAGTCTACTGCTCCATAGCCAAGTCGATAGCCTACACTCTTTGTAACAGTTAGGCTACTATGTCAAAACATCAAAGAAGCCACAGACAAATGAAAACACTCCTAATGTTAGTATAAGCTACATAAGGATGCATCCCAAATTACATTATATATTAGGCCCTGGTCAAAAGTAGTGCACTATATAGGGAATAGGGTGCCATTTGGGACATAGCCTAAACTAAGCCTGGATATGGTAACAGAGATCTGGGTAGTAGTAATGTAGTGGTGCATTTGCTGGGTTGGACATCTGGTGTATGGTTTCGTACACTGCCATTTTGTCTGTGGGAGACAGGATAGGGAGGGCTGCTTCACTACCCTGAGAATGCATATGAAAACTATACAGAAAGCATAAGCTTTAGTGAGTGTGGACGTGTGACGCCAAAGTGTCGTCAGCATTGTAGTGGGCTCCTTGGTAGTACGGAGAGGACATCATATGACTTCATCGTGACATGGACTTCACCAGCCTAATTCTATCTTTTACAAACAGAGTGATTTGACTGAAAGTCAAAGAGAGAGAGCATAATCCAGTGGTAATCTCAGGGACTGTCTTTAATCTGGGTGGATAGCAACCACTCACAGAGGGGCTGAAATACCAAGATTACCATGGTGAAAAGAAAGCTAGCGATACAACAGCAGGTTAACTCAATGAAGATCATGCTAACAGTGAGCTGAGATTCACTCTCTTTCTATTGCTACAGCCTGAAAAGATAGACCACCTATAGGCTCTCTTTTTGCTCAGGTCCTGTGCCACGATTAAAACTTTGGCTGTGCCTGTGTGATTTTTCTCCTTTGATCTGAAATAGCTTACTGGGGGAAGAGACATGCAGGGGTCCTAAATAAGAATTTAGTTAGACAGTGTATACCATGTGTATCCCGTACATAGGACTAATACAACTTCAAACGTTATATAGCCAGAGCCCGTATTTATGAAGCGTCTGATCTAGGATCAGATCCTGCCTGTCCATAATAATGTGATTCATTACGATCTAAAAGGCTAAACTGATCCTAGATCAACACTCCTACTTTGAGACGCTTGATAAATACAGGCTCAGATCTCAGGTTCAGAAGATCAGCACCATTGCATTCTGTCCTTCTCAATAATCCTAAACGATATTATAACCGCGATTGATAATAGACAGTACTGTGCAGCCGTCTTCATCGACCTGGCCAAGGCTTTCGACTCTGTCAACCACCGCATTCTTATTGGCAGACTAAATAGCCTTGGTTTCTCAAATGACTGCCTCGCCTGGTTCACCAACTACTTCTCAGATAGAGTTCAGTGTGTCAAATCGGAGGGCCTGTTGTCTGGACCTATGGCAGTCTCTATGGGGGTGCCACAGGGTTCAATTCTTGGGCCGACACTTTTCTCTGTGTATATCAATGATGTCGCTCTTGCTGCTGGTGACTCTCAGATCCACCTCTACGCAGACGACACCATTTGTATACATCTGGCCCTTCATTGGACACTGTGTTAACAAACCTCCAAACGAGCTTCAATGCCATACAACAATCCTTCAGTAGCCTTCAAATGCTCTTAAACACTAGTAAAACTAAATGAATGCTTTTCAATCGAACGCTGCTAGCACCCGCCCACCCGACTAGAATCACCACTCTCGACGGGTCTGACCTAGAGTATGTGGACAACTACAAATATCTAGGTGTCTGGTTAGACTGTAAACTCAACTTCCAGACTCACATAAAGAATCTCCAATCCAAAGTTAAATCTAGAATCGGCTTCCTATTTCGCAACAAAGCCTCCTTCACTCATGCTGCCAAACATGCCCTCGTAAAACTGACTATCCTACCGATCCTTGACTTCGGCGATGTCATTTACAAAATAGCCTCCAACACTCTACTCAGCAAATTGGATGTAGTCTATCACAGTGCCATCCGTTTTGTCTCCAAAGCCCCATACACTACCCACCACTGTGACCTGTATGCTCTTGTTGGCTGGTCCTCACTACATGTTCGTCGTCAAACCCACTGGCTCCAGGCCATCTATAAATCACTGCTAGGAAAATCCCCGCCTTATCTTAGCTCATTGGTCACCATAGCAGCACCCACCCGTAGTCTGCGCTCCAGCAGGTATATCTCACTGGTCATTCCCAAAGCCAACACCTCCTTTGGCCGCCATTCCTTCCAGTTCTCTGCTGCCAATGACTGGAACGAATTGCAAAAATCTCTGAAGCTGGAGACTTATCTCCCTCAATAACTTTAAGCATCAGTTGTCAGAGCACCTTACCGATCACTGCACCTGTACACAGCCCATCTGAAATTAGCCCACCCAACTACCTCATCCCTATATTGTTATTTATTTTGCTCTTACTGCCACTTTAATTAAAGTCCCTCCTCGCTGCCCTTCCTTGCACCAATCATCGCCCCCTTTCTCTCCCCCTGACCCCCTAGGCTCCGCCTGATGGTGATCTCCAGATTCATTACAGTGAGATTTTATGATGGCCTCCTCTAGTCTAGATTATGTAATCTGCCATTAAAATCTACACTAGTAACAATCCCACACAAACACACAATACGCACATAAGGGAGAGAGAAACTCACACACACGTCAACGATGCATATAGACCGAAATCAGATCACAGCTTGAGTAGGCTACGTGGAAGCAATAAAACGTGGCGACTTGACACACAGAAGGCTACTTTCTCAGGTTGAACATAGAAACAATGTGGACTGTCTTTACTGCAGGCAAATGAGAGATGCTTCAGCCCAAAACAACGGCACCATAGTATTCCCTACATAGCCCTACGGGCCCTGGTCAAAAGTAGTGCACTATATAAGGAATAGGGTGCCATTTAGGACCCAGCCCTGATGAGAGGTGAATGAGTCGGAGAACACAACAAGCATTAGACCTACCTGGAGCTGAAACTATGTCTGGCATGTCATTGTTACACAGTACAGTAACGTGTCTTTAACGAACATGGTGAGGAATCCAATCCAATATGTAGGCTAGCCTGAACAACTTCCCTAATCATACTAACAGGTAAGAGACATAAGGCCTATCTAAATGCCAAAACATTTGTGTAGACCTACACATTCAGTTTAGCTGAAATCTGGAAAACAAATTTATGAACTCCAGCTGAAGTCTTGTTGCACACATCACACCATAGGCTAGGCCAGTGTTATGTCATTGGCCTAGTTGTGTAACTATGTTTTCAAACCACAGTGAACCAGTTCAACAGAGACTGACACACAGTCACACATGACTATAGGCTACATGCTGACTCTCACACAGATAGGCCGACACATTCACCTAGAGCTCTGCTGCGGATAGAGCTCTCTCCTCTACTAGCAAGGATGTCATCTGAGGGTATCGGCCAGGGACTTGTCATTGTCAGCTGATTTCCATAATGTGGTTTGTGGGACCAATGTAACTAAATAACTGTTGTTATAGGCTAGGGTAATAGCCTACTAGTGTTGTTTGAATAGGCCAACACTATCCAAGTCACAGGAACCCATAGCCATAGGCTAGCCTACATTCACATTACATCACGTGTTAGTCTACATTATGATTTGCCATTGGCTTTGTTTATTTAGCTAATGAGCTATCATTTTAACTTAACAGCTACTGCGAGTTTGCCTGTCTTGTTACAGATACAGCAACACTGGGTCTCTACTAGTAAGGATGGACCTAGCAGCAACAGAGGAAGCATGGTTTGGGTCCAGTCTGTTACCTCCATTGTGACTCGAAATAGTCCAATATTAGCTCTGTGATGCAACAAAGTGAAGGGCATTGTACGACAACGTCATAAAAGCTATTTGTTTGTCCTACTCCCAGGCACATGAGCTACAATATCTAACTAGGAAAACAAATGCTGCCATCAACTACATAACATTACCCAAACATATAATCAGACAATATAAACTAGCAACAATTAACCTAGTAAGGAGCTCTTACAGTAGCTTGCAGTGAGTGTAGTAAATTGCGATTAAAATCACACGGAACTGTGTGAAAACGGTTGCTGAAAATCCCCAGCCTAGCCTGTATTATCGTTTCATTGCCTGCCTCAACAGTGCCCAGTATTGTTCAAATAAGTGCATAATTGTAACAGGCAATTTAGGTAGAGACAAATAACGTTGGTTGAGAATAAACCTGAAATGGGTGTCCTTCACAATCATGTAACTTTGTATTGGACCAACCTCAAGAATCGTCTCAAATTCCACCTCTCTCTCTTTCTACTCCTCTATTTCTTCGTCTCTACACCAGCAGATTACATCCGACATCATACGCAGAATGATGCCACAACGTAACGTACTCTACTGACTACACAAAATCCACTGTCATTGGCTGTTTGTTTAGTAAACCACGCCCATATATATTATCGTCTTTCACAAATTAAACGTCAATCATTTACAGCCTTTTAAAAACACAGCTGGTTGGACAGGGAATGTGAAAGTATACACCCGCCATAAAATTGACAAAAAACAAGCATAGTGACAAATTGTCACTGACAATAAAATATTGTAACGTTAGCGGCCTCTTAACTAGCTGCCATTTATCAGTGTAACGTTAAGCAAACGTGATCTACTGTACGTCTAAGAAGTTGCTGACATCAACATGATGTAGTTAACTAGCTTTCCAACTCGTCTACTGACCTTTTATAGTGAAATCTAAGTTTAAAATAGGGAATGTAAAAAATAATAAAAAAAGATAGGTAGCTAGCTAGCTAGCATCAAGTGTTAAAGTTTTGTGCAGGCTAGCCGTCCTTCGACAAGTGGACAGTGGACACTAACCTAGTTTAAGGACCGAGGTCATACAGTTACAGTAGCTAACGGGGTTAGCTAACTAACTAGCTAGTAGCACTGGCAGGATAGTACATCGTATATCTAGTCACACTAACGTTAGCTAGTTAATGTTCGATAACTTAGCTGTACCAGAACATAGATGCTGTAGCTAAATAAAGATCCAAAGCATCGTTAAAAGTTAGTGCGATATCTACTGGCTAGTCCGTTAGCTACCCACCCAGACCTATCAGTAGCTAGCTAGTTTGAACTGACGTTGCTTACCTTCTCTGTTTACGCTTCTGCTCGTAAGTAGCTAGCTACCCCACGACAACTTTCTTGGACTTCGGAAAATAATATCTAGCTAAGAAAAACGAACGATTGTAGGCTTGCTCGCTAACTCAACGCGGTATTGTTGGGTCGGTCTTTTCTCGCCTCTTCCCTACCCCCAACCAGACACTGCCTGTTTGTTACTTTTTTCACTTAAACTCCCCGACTGTAAAATTGGTTGTGACGTCACAGACAACTCGATACACGTCACTGGGCTGTCAAATAATGTGGGTAGTTAAGTGTGTGTGATAGATAGCGAGATAGATGAGAATTATGTTATTGCAGTCTGTTTAATGATTGATTGGCAAATCGATTACGTGGCTAGCTGAGTCCAACCCAAATGTTGAATTTGCTAATTTCAAGGCCAGCCTACATTGCTGCCTTCCCTGAACTCACACACATTGCAACAGTTTTGTCTTTGGACACGAGTTTTACATTAGCCAGTATGGCCGCCTTGCGTGCAGCCAAACAAGCTCTGAGGAGAGAAATAAAGAAACGAGTAGCAGCGTTGGACGATCAAGAGAAACTTCGCCAGTCTCGAGTCATTTCGCAGAAGGTAACTGAAGTGAGATATAAACAATCATGTAGCAAAAAAGTGGGCATCACATTTACAATGTGCATGGAGGATGACGTTTCGTGAAAAACAATGCTACAAACTCATTTTGTGTATACATGTCATCGTCGCGTGGCCAATAGAGCTCGCCAGTTTGTAGTCCTAAAAACCGGAAATGAGTTACCTCTGGTTCGTTCAGCCATTCCTATGGGGAAAATGAATGCGGAAAGAATAGGGTTTTGGGATAAATGCCGAAAATAAGGTCTGAGATTAACACAGGTTTATGGTGCTTTCAAGACAAAAGGGAACTAGAAACAAAACTAGGTGAAAATCACGACGTCGGTGAGCTTCAGGTCGTAGCTCTAGAAAGATAGCAGAGTTTCAGACATGGAATTCCAGTTGACCTTTCAAAATATGTTTTACAGTCAGAGTTCGTTTTTTCTGAGTTCCTGGTTGTCGTGAACGCTCAGAAGTCGTCGGAGATTTCCGAGATCCCAGTTGTTTTGAATGTTGCATTAGGATATCTGTTATGTTTTGTTCTATGAGAAGATATCAGTCAGTTAACATGACCTTTATGAATTATGAAGCTTTTCTGATTATTTTTCTGAAAATCACAAAGTGATGTTAGCTGATGGAGATGATATCATAGAACAAAACGTATAAGATCTCCTAAGCCTGTGTTTACCACATACCTCATTTTCGGCGTTTATCTCAAAACCCTACAAAAATTCCATTAATTTCCCCATAGGCTTTGTACAATGGTTCCCAGGTGCTGTGGTTAAAAATGTCCTAAAACGACCAGTGGCGCCCCCTTGTGGCGGGTCACAGGTGGGGGGGGGTGGTGTTGGCCCCCCTAGGGAGTCTCACCCAACCTGGCCATGGACCCCCAGCTGATCCGTAAATGACAGGGAAATTAAAAAACTAGGCCTAACCCCTTATACTCTCTCCTCTCAACCAGCTCTTCAAGCACCCCAAGTATGCTAGCTGTGAGCGCATCGCTGTGTTCCTCAGCATGCACGACGAGGTGAGAACAGAGGAGATCATTCAGGACTTGTTTAAGCACGGTAAGACCTGCTTTATGCCCAAGTACTTGACCCAGGGCACCAGTAACCACATGGACATGGTGAAGCTCACCAGCATGGAGGATATGATGTCACTGCCTCTGACTTCCTGGAACATCAGACAGCCCGCCGATGAAGACAACACCAGAGAGGAGGCCTTGGAGACAGGTCAGTGTTAGCCTACAACACACACACACACACACACACACACACACAAAAGCTTTTTGCCTTGCTGCTGCTGCTGCAAGAAAATAAAATTAAAACATACAAAATTACAAAGAAGAAGATATTGGAGTCCGTCCACTTTGTGTGAGAACCTATCCTATTTTTCGGTGAACTCTTTATTGGTTTTACACAACAACCAAAGATCCTTTATATCCTACTGAGTCAGGTAAGCGTGATGGTACCTTCTTTCAGTACGCACACAAGGCCACACACACACAGCTTTGTTTTCGTGAATTTTCGGGGAGTAAAAATGTATTCCCAATCAAAGCCTATTTTCCCTAACCCATAACCTTTAACTCAAACCCTAACTCTAACCCAAATGCCTAACCTAAACCTAACTCCTAAACCTAACCATTAAGCCTAAAATAACATTTTAACAAATTCAGGACATGAAAAAAGTCCTGACTCTTCAAAATTATTCATGTTTTCCTACCTTGTCAGGACATTCTGGTGACTTGTCAGGACATTCTTGTGACTTGTCAGGACATTCTGGTGACTTGTCAGGACATTCTGGTGACTTGTCAGGACATTCTGGTGACTTGTCAGGACATTGTGGGCCTGATAAGGTAGGAACACACACACACACACACACAGGGTGCCCTATTAGTTTGTCTGTTGTATATTACCAGCTGTGTGTATCATAACACACTTATGACCTACATGTGTTTGAATTACCTAAATCCTGGCATGGCCTTGCAAAGTTAATCTTTCTTCCCTTATACACAGTTAATCTTTGTTCCCCCATGTGCCTTGTTCAGAAGTAGTGCACTATTTAGGGAAAAGGGTGCCATTTGGGATGCATTCACAGTCTCCAACGTGTGACCCCCAAATAACACCATATTAGCGTCAGACCAAAGTTCATGTTTTGGTTTCCTCCACAAGATGGTGGTATAGCACCATCATCGAGACATCAAAATTGTAGTCTCCTGCAATAACAATCTTACATCTGGCCACAAACCTGTCATGTGACACTTAATCGAAATACTATCTAAGGTCAGTTTGGCATTCCCCCCCCCCCCCCCCTAAAGGTTAATCATGGGGTAGGGGGAGGATAAGATGATCCTAGATCTGATAACATCTACCCTGAGCACTTGTGAATAATTGGTGAAGTTGCATAATTCTATTCTAATCACCTCTGCTGCTGCTGAATAAGAAGAAAAGTCATATTGATAATGGTTATTAGCATTGTAATCTCTTGGATGGTGTTTCTTTTTTTTAGGCACTGTCAACCTCTCAACTATTTTAATCCAGACCGTCACAGTTTTCATCTTTAGATAGGATATTAAATACCGACGCCTGGGGAGGAAATGTGTTTATGGTGCATTCTCTGAGTCTATTTGAGCTGTGCAAATAATGTCATCATGATTTATGGAACCAAACAGGTCATAACCACGCTCCTTCATTGTGTATGTCTGAATGCACTCCTGTCTGGCAATAACCTGTGTAAATTCTAATTATCTCACTCACTCACCTCTCACGCCACCTCAAGACACCAGGTTCACTTTTGGCGTTGGTGCCTATGGAAAGACCCCCTTTACATTTTTTCACATTTTGTTGCTTTCCAAAGTGGGATAAAAATTGATTTAATAGTCCTTTTTTTTGTCAAAGATCTACACAAAATACTCTGTCAAAGTGGAAGAAAAATTCAAACATTTTTTAAAGATGATTGAAAAATAAAACACTAAAATACAGTACCTTGATTAGATAAATATTCACCCCTTTGAGTCAATACATGTTAGAAACACCTTTGGCAGCGATTACAGCTGTGAGTCTTCTTGGGTAAGTCTCTAAGAGCTTTGCAAACCTGTATTGTGCAATATTTGCCCATTATTCTTTTGAAAATTCTTCAAGATCTGTCAAGGTGTTGGGGATCATGGCTAGACAGCAGTTTTCAAGTCTTGCCACAGATCTTCAAGCAGATTTAAGTCAAAACTGTAACTTGGCCACAGGAACAGTCACTGTGTTCTTGGTAAGCAACTCTAGTGTAGATTTGGCTTTGTGTTGTAGGTTATTGTTCTGCTGAAAGGTCAATTCCTTTCCCAGTGTCTGGTGCAAAGCAGACTGAAGCAGGTTTTCCTCTAGGATTGTGCCTGTGCTTAGCTCCATCCCGTTTCTTTTCATCCTGAAAAACTCCCCAGTCTTTGCCGATGTCAAGCATACCCATACCATGATGCTGCCGTGCTTGAAAATAAGGAGGCAGTTACTCAGTGATGTGTTGTGTTGGATTTGCCCCAAACATAAGGCTTTGCATTTAGGCCAAAAAGTGTATTCCTTTGCCTTGTTTTGTTTTGCAGTATTACTTTAGTGCTTTGTTGCATACAAGATGCATATTTAGGAATATTCTGTATATTTGTATTTTTCTTTTCACTCTGTCATTTAGGTCATTATTGTGGAGTCACTACAATGTTGTTGATCCATCCTCAGTTTTCTCCCATCACAGCCATTGAACTCTGTAGCTGGTTTAAAATCCCCAATGGCTCATGGTGACATCCCTAAGCAGTTTCCTTCCTGTCCTGCAGCTCAGTTCAGAACGAAGACTGCATCTTTGATGTGTCTGGGTGGTTTAATACATCACCCACAACATACAGTGGGGAGAACAAGTATTTGATACACTGCCGATTTTGCAGGTTTTCCTACTTACAAAGCATGTAGAGGTCTGTCATTTTTATCATAGGTACACTTCAACTGTGAGAGACGGAATCTAAAACAAAAATCCAGAAAATCACATTGTATGATTTTTAAGTAATTAATTTGCATTTTATTGCATGACATAAGTATTTGATCACCTACCAACCAGTAAGAATTCCGGCTCTCACAGACCTGTTAGTTTTTCTTTAAGAAGCCCTCCTGTTCTCCACTCATTACCTGTATTAACTGCACCTGTTTGAACTCGTTACCTGTATAAAAGACACCTGTCCACACACTCAATCAAACAGACTCCAACCTCTCCACAATGGCCAAGACCAGAGAGCTGTGTAAGGACATCAGGGATAAAATTGTAGACCTGCACAAGGCTGGGATGGGCTACAGGACAATAGGCAAGCAGCTTGGTGAGAAGGCAACAGCTGTTGGTGCAATTATTAGAAAATGGAAGAAGTTCAAGATGACGGTCCATCACTCTCGGTCTGGGGCTCCATGCAAGATCTCACCTCGTGGGGCATCAATGATCATGAGGAAGGTGAGGGATCAGCCCAGAACTACACAGCAGGACCTGGTCAATGACCTGAAGAAAGCTGGGACCACAGTCTCAAAGAAAACCATTAGTAACACACTAAACCGTCATGGATTAAGATCCTGCAGCGCACGCAAGGTCCCCCTGCTCAAGCCAGCGCATGTCCAGGCCCGTCTGAAGTTTCCAATGACCATCTGGATGATCCAGAGGAGGAATAGGAGAAGGTCATGTGGTCTGATGAGAGAAAAATAGAGCTTTTTGGTCTAAACTCCACTCGCCGTGTTTGGAGGAAGAAGGGGGATGAGTACAACCCCAAGAACACCATCCCAACCGTGAAGCATGGAGGTGGAAACATCATTCTTTGGGGATGCTTTTCTGCAAAGGGGACAGGACGACTGCACCGTATTGAGGGGAGGATGGATGGATGGGGCCATGTATCGCGAGATCTTGGCCAACAACCTCCTTCCCTCAGTAAGAGCATTGAAGATGGGTCGTGGCTGGGTCTTCCAGCATGACAACGACCCGAAACACACAGCCAGGGCAACTAAGGAGTGGCTCCGTAAGAAGCATCTCAAGGTCCTGGAGTGGCCTAGCCAGTCTCCGGAACTGAACCCAATAGAAAATCTTTGGAGGGAGCTGAAAGTCTGTATTGCTCAGCGACAGCCCCGAAACCTGAAGGATCTGGAGAAGGTCTGTATGGAGGAGTGGGCCAAAATCCCTGCTGCATTGTGTGCAAACCTGGTCAAGACCTACAGGAAATGTATGATCTCTGTAATTGCAAACAAAGGTTTCTGTACCAAATATTAAGTTCCGCTTTTCTGATGTATCAAATACTTATGTCATGCAATAAAATGCAAATTAATTACTTTAAAATCATACAATGTGATTTTCTGGATTTTTGTTTTAGATTCCGTCTCTCACAGTTGAAGTGTACATATGATAAAAATTACAGACCTCTACATGCTTTGTAAGTAGGAAAACCTGCAAAATCGGCAGTGTATCAAATACTTGTTCTCCCCACTGTAACTATTACCTTGACCATGCTTAAAGAGATATTCAATGTCTGATTTGTTATTGTAACCATCTACCAATCACTGCCCTCCTTTTATGAGGCTTTCGAAAAGCTCCCTGGTCTTTGTAGTTGAATCTGTGCTAGAAATGCAATATTTGACTGAGGGACCTTACAGTCCATGTAACTTATTATGTGAATTGTTAAGCCAAATGTTACTTCTGAACTAAGTTAGGCTTGCCTAAACAAAGAGGGTGAATACTTATGCAATGACTATTTTAGTTATTTAATTGTTATTAATTTGAAAAATAAAAATATATATTTTCACTTTACATTATTGAGTATTTTGTGTAGATCAATGACAAAAAAATTCAATTAAATCTATTTCAATCCCACTTAGTAACGCAACAAAATGTGAAAAAAAGTTCAAGGGGTGTAGACTTTCTATAGGCACTGTATACCAATCAATCACATGTCTTTAGTGTAGGGCTCCCTTTTCTCTGACAGTGAACAGTTTGTTTGATGTGTTTCTCTCGACTCTGACTCAGTCCTGCAGCCTTCAATACCTCTCATGAACTTGTCATGGCTGTTGTCAAGGAAACTACCAATAGACCATAATGCAATGCAAATGTTAATACATGTGAAGTGGAAACAAAAGGTCTCTCTTGCCGTGCCACCAGATTAGCTTTGATTAGCGTCAGGGTTTTTACTTAGCAACAAGGGCACCTTATTCCAAGTACCTTGAATATTCCCAGTGACTTACAGAAGGGTTTTAGACCACAATATCGTTCCCTCATAACAGCACATAACCTTTCATAACAGCAGTTCCATCCACATAAAGAATGTCTCTTTGTCCTGGGGTGCATAGACGGCAAAGGTCAGGAGGTGTGGTGTGTGTGTGTGTGTGTGTGTGTGTGGACAACACAACACAAATTGCTACCTGCCAGGATTGCCATCCTGCTGAGCGTCTGAAAGTCGTCTTCAAATCATTTTCCTCTTGTTCAGATACTTACATGTGAGGATAGAGAGAACACAGCAGAGAGAGAGAGAGAGAAGGGGCAATGGCATTTTGGCACAGCAGGAGTAGATGTCCTTCAGAAAGGGAATGATTTAACATTCAACCGAGATCTTTGTTATTGGCTAGGAATAGAACAGACTGGAGTAGATAAAAAACCGAGACATTTGATTGGCTCTGTGTTATTTACACATAGGGAGGGTGTGGGAGTGTGCGAGCGTGCGCGCCAGGCTTAAAAAATGTTTTACTATCAGGGTTCAATTGTTAGCATTAAATCCTTACTGCCATTAAAGTAGATGATGTGATGCCAGATGAGTTTTCTGAACAGCAGTAGGCTACATGCATCAATAATAGATCAATGTTATTACCATGCAGTCTGGAGGGCCGGAAAAGAGAACGCAACAGTATGACATCCGCAACCTGCTGCTGTTTTGAGGAACGTGTATGCATAATGTCCCTGCTTAATCTGCATAAATGATTAATGAATGTCATGGTTACGTGACAACAGGAAAAGCTTTAGATATTAGAGTCTCAAGCTACACACAGGAGGATGGAGTGGGAGGTTCACATCATCACCAGAAACCTGGGGCCGCATTCATAAAGCGTCTCAGAGTTAGAGTGCTGATCTAGGATCAGGTTCATCCTGTCCATGTAACCTTATTCATTTTGATCGAAAAGGCTAAACTTATCCTAGATCAGCACTCTGATATCAGATGTTCTAAGAAACATTCTGTGAATTATCTCATCTGTTATTTCTTTGAGTTGTGAGCGAGCACTTGATGCTATGGTTGCACCAGGATGTTATGAAATATGAATCCAAGGGCTTGTGAAGTCTTGCAGCGAACACCATCCATCTTTTGACTCACAGAGAATCTGCAGCTTGTTCGGTCTGATGGAATTATAAAGAATTGATCATGCTGGAGACTGTAGAACTTGACTGCTAAAATTGCTAAGTTTCTTTTTCATGAGAAATTGGGAATTGGAACTGAAATTGGGAATGCATGTTTTAGTTCTGGCATTTATTGAAGCAGGCCTGCAGTTCACTAATACGAAGCAACAATAGCATTTTTTGCCAAATTTATTTTGTAGGGTGGAGTGTATTTCTGTTTTAAATAGGATGAAGCAGCGTTGTTTTATAGCTTTGAGGAGCTCCTTTCAAGTTCTTGAACCAACCAATCCTTTCATAGTGTTGTGCTTTGAATACCATACGGGGGTAGGTCAACTGTTTAACAAGATTTATTGAAATTCAATTAAGGTTGCAGTTTGAACATCAGACACCACTGCTGTAAAACCTCTTACCCAGATTGCAAGTAAACATTGTGCTCACATAAGGGAGATGGCATCTGGCCATTGGCATCAGCTCTCTGAAAAGTAAAATAAATCGTTCTTAAGGTATTCTAGTAAGCCTTCTCATTAATGTATTTTCATGTCTTCCTCCTGCTCCTATACAGGAGGTCTTGACCTGATCTTGATGCCAGGCCTGGGTTTTGACAGGAATGGGAACCGGCTGGGCCGAGGGAAGGGCTTCTACGACACATACCTGGAACGCTGTATGAAGCACCCCAAGGGGAAGCCGTACGCCATCGCTCTGGCCTTCAGGGAACAGCTGTGTCAGGACATACCTGTAGACAACAACGACATGCTGATAGATGAGGTCCTGTATGAAGTCCTGGACTAGTTAAAAGGCACATACATCATCCTATTTCTGAAGTAAATCTCTATTTTTTATGTAAATTAATGTTAAAGAAGGGTTCAGACACCTTTTTTGTTTATTTGGCTTGTTTTTGAGAAAACGTACCCCAGCCGTGATACACTTCCTTGCTCGTTGTGCAGTATCAGGGCTCGCAAAAGACATGAAGAAAACACCCAAATATGTCCTTTTAGAAACGGACACGCTTTCAGTATAGTGATGTAGGTCTTCATATGTTGTACACATTAAATTGTGTCATTACGAACTTTATCCACAATGTTATATTACATTTTGTGCGACTGGAGACGTTTCTTCTACCAGCTGTGCTGCGCGGGCTGTGTCCATGTACTATAGGGACACGCTCAACCTGCACAGCTGCAGGGGGGAAACAGTGCAACTCGACCAAAATGGATTATAACATTGCGGATACATTTCGGAATGACACAATTTAATGTGTACAACATCTGAAGACCTACATCACTATACTGAAAGCGTGTCCGTTTCTAAAAGGACATATTTGGGTTGTTTTTGGAGCTTTTGTTCATGTCTTTTGTGTGCCCTGCTACTGCATAACGAGCAATGAGGAAGTGTATCGTGGCTGGGATAAACGTTTAAAAAACAAGACAAATCACACAAAAAGTGTCTCGACCCTTCTATAACATGCCATCTACTTCAGAAATAGGAAAATTCTCCTTTAACTGTGATGTGACTAGTCAACTGGACTTCAATGGTATGATGATGAAATCAGTGGAGGCTGCTGAGGGGAGGACGGCTCATAATAATGGCTGGAACGGAGCATATGGAATGGCATCAAACCATGTGTTCCACTGATTCCGCTCCAGCCATTACCACGAGCCCGTCCTCCCCAATTAAGGTGCCACCAACCTTCTGTGGATGAAATGGTATTATATAGCACATTATATCATATTATGTGATCCCAGCTAACAGATTTAGGTTCCCAGAACATTGTGAGAAAGTTATTTCAAACAACCAAAAGAGAACCTTTAGTGAACGTTCTGTGCTAGCTGTGATGATATTGTTTGGTATGATGATATTATGATAAGACATGAAGCTGTGAACTAGTCAACAAGACAGTGGTGGAGCTGAGCCTGGTGGCCCAATTCCAAACTGATCATTAGCCCTTACTCCAATGTTTTTGTTTAAATACTGATCCAATCCATTTAAATATTCTAGTGGGGGCATCAACAAGGGCCTAGGTAAGGGGCCAGGGTTCAGTTTGGACTTGGGCCCTCTTAAGTGCTTGCTAAAGACCCCTAGTAATCATAATGGTCAAACAAGTTGTCTTAGAATGTGCCTGAATTGGCGAGGAATAAACTGTTAGGTTCTCTACAGATGACACTACCTTGTTTCCATTTCAAGATTCCTGTGATTCAGTTCTTTCTCGTCTTCTGTAATGAGACAATTATGCTGCCATCAGGGGACACAGGAGGTTTGGTTAGGAATAAAGACTGCTGAATGAGTACACACTGGTTTATTGCTCACCAAAGCTAGCTAGCATAGTTTTGGTGTTAGAAGTGGGATCCAAAACTCTCTGTTGTCTTAACAAAGGAATAACAGTATTATTACAGGAGTCTGAGAGCAGGCTGAGAATGAGTGTTTGACTGGCAGAATGTTAATGAACTGCCTAGTGACTGCCTCGCTTGTTTGCCTAATTGCTGTGATGCCTTTGGGAATGAATCCATACTTTTCTGGTAGTCTTTTTATGTTTTGCTTATCAAAGTTTTGCCTGTTTTAAACTGAGACTGAGCGATATGACATTGCCAAGTGCAGCAGCATGAATCGCAGAAAGCTTGAATGGCTCACCACAGATCCATCAGGAAACTTTTGTTCCTGGGCTGTAACAAAAGGATGTACACTCCTACAGTAGCCCTTAAGAACCACAGTCGTCCAACCATGATCGAGACAAGCCCTTCAGAACCACAGTCGTCCATCAATGATCTAGACAAGCCCTTCAGAACCACAGTCATCCATTCATGATCTAGACAAGCCCATCCATGATCTAGACAAGCCCTTCAGAATCACCGTCACCCATCCATGATATAGAAAAGTCCTGCAGAACCACAGTCATCCATCCATGATATAGACCTTCAGAACCATAGTCATCCATCCATGATATAGACAAGCCCTTCAGAACCACAGTCCTCCATCCATAATATAGGCAAGCCCTTCAGAACCACAGTCATCCAACCATGATCTAGACAAGACAAAAAAAGGCACCTGACAGAAAGATTACGTGACCTGTGTGGTACAGTGATTATAGTGCCACTGACCCTGGTACACGTATACCAGAGTCGACATGGGTTCAAATCTGGCCCTCTGACTCGATCTCCTCCAGTCTTTCCTGGCTTCTGTCTGCTGTCCTCTGTTCAATAAGAACCATTAAAAAAATATGAAAGGAGTGAGGGGAAAAAATACAAAAGAGAGATGACAAAAGACCTCGTCTCAATCTTATTATTTTAGATTTTGGCTGTACTTCCACCACGGGCTGCCCACTCATTAAATCCCCATGCTGGTTTATAGTTTATTCATCTGCTGAAAGCAAAAGTGGTTTCACATCAGTACCTCTATGCCTTTTAATAGCATTCGTTTTGTGTGTTTAACATTGGTTTCTGTTGTAAAGCCCCAATTACCAAACAGTCCCATCTATCAAAGATCAAAGGCTCTGTCCGTCTGTCTGTCCGTCCGTCCGCCCGCCCGCCCAGCAGTTGGTTTATTACCATAGTGGGGAGGAAGTCTTTCTCCAGCTGTATAGAACAGAACACACACACTTTTTCACCTACAACTGCCTTCTCTTCATCACTCTCTCCATCCTTTCTTTCTCTGCTTGTTCAATCTCTCCCAGAGAGCTAAAGCTGCCTGCTTCATCAGAACCTGTGTGAAGATGGTTTAGTAAAGAAATGAGATCTACAGGTGTGTGTACTCAGCATGGCTGCTCATTACAGAGAGGTAACACGGTTAGGTGGGACGGGCACATATAAATTAGGACTGTCAGTGTCAGGTGACACAGCCACCAGGTGACAGGTCTGGCTACGATGATGCAGGTAGCTCTGATGTCACACCCGTTCAGCATGATCAGGGGCCGTATGTATCAAGCATCTCAGAGCAGGAGTGCTGATTTAGGATCAGTTTAGCCTTTTAGATCACAATGAATAAGAATACATGGACAGGGGGGGCCTGATCCTAGATCAGCACTCCTACGTTGAGACGCTTGATACATACAGAGGGTGCATCTCAACAGTCTAGAAAACTCAGTAAATCATTACAACAAATGACATATACATCTATTTTTATCCAGAAATACAAGTAAGTCTATCCATAAATACCATTTATATATTTATGAACAGTATAAACCATTTAAGTCTGAATGTAATCATATATAAAGAATGAACAACAGGCCTTACACATGTTCTAACAAACTGGAAAGATGTTTAACAAAATCAGACCCATAAATAAAGTGTTAAGTTGTGTCCCAAATAGCACCCTATTCCCTTTATAGTGCACTATTCTTGACCTGGGTTCATAGAACTCTGGTTAAAAGTAGTGCCATTTGGGACGCAATCTTAGACACTTCCTCAATGCTCCATAACTGGAGTCTCCAATGGCCTCTCACTGCCCTCTTCCACAGTCATTTGGCAGTCTCCTTGTGTTTAACCTGTTGATCCCCTGTGTATGTATGTGTGTGTGTGTGTGTGTGTTTTGTCTCTCCCCTGTGCATGTGTGTGTGTTGATCTCTTCCCAATGAACCACAAGAGTGAGGGCTCTTCAATATTTGAATGAGAACGGGAAGAGTGTTTCTGCTCTGGGGACTGCGCCGAAAATGAGCTTGTGTTTGGATTTCACACCCCAAGTGAACATGCGCACACACACCCCTGTAGGTCTCATTTCTTTAATTAACAATCTTCAGAATTACACTGGTTCTGATGAGATTATCCCAGGAAGCCAACACAAGTCTTCAGGTCTCAGGCAAGGTTACTCATCATAGTTCACTAAACCAACTCGCTTAGGTAAATTGATTGAAGAAATTATATGGTAGATATTAAACCAGAGATGTTTTCAACAGTTACTTGCAGTTGAATAATCAACTAAATGAGGCTTGATTATAAATAGAAATTCATGCATGAACTAGATTCTCAGTTTACAGAGATTGGCCTACTAAAGTATTTTTGATGTTTGATTCTGTTTTGGAGTGATTCCCCAGGCAATTACTTTATGGCATCTATGCTGGAGCCTTATGCTACGTTAGTAACCAGTGGGAATTTACCACATACTGGGAAAGATCCACTTGAACAGCCCTCCAACTGGTAATTACTATTGGGAAATCTTCCCTGAGCTCCAACTTCTACCATATGCTGACCTCTGACATCACCCACTAAGGAAATGACATCGATAACAGCATTTTCAGCAGTTAAAAAAACATTATTTATATAAAGCAATCTATTAATATATTTTTTAAACTATATAATTTGTTTACAAGCATGATAGCTGTACTTTTAGTGTATGGTTGACACAGCTTGTTGGCCATTAGCCAATATGCTACCCAGGAAAGGGCTGAAAATAGCCCATATTAATAGATGTAGATGTAGCCTTAGAAATCAAAAATCTTTGTCTAATACGAGGTGAGTAATCACTGTCCTGATATCCAGAAGCTTTTTTGGTCATAGGAGACAGTGGCAGAAACATTATGTACAGAATAAATTACAAATAACGCGAAAAAACACACATAATAGCACAATTGGTTAGAGGGCCGTAAAACGGCAGCCATCTCCTCCGACGCCATTCTATTGTGCTATTATGTGTGTTTTTTCGCGTTATTTGTAATTTATTCTGTACATAATGTTTCTGCCACAGTCTCTTATGACCAAAAAGAGCTTCTGGATATCAGGACAGCGATTACTCACCTCGTATTGGACGAG